CCTGTCAAGGCAATCCATGACCTGCTGCAGCTCGCCCTTGCGCGCCGCGATGTCTCGCGTCACCACTGTCTTCGACTTGTACTGGCCGACTGGTCCTGAAGACCGCTGTTGAACGGCCCGCCCTGGCTGCGGTTCCACGGGTGGCGCGGGGCGCTTCTTGCTCTTCTGCGTGCCCAGCTCGTAGACAATGAACGCGTCATTGTCTGCCTCCTGCAACGCCGCCTCCCACTCGAGGGCGTTGTCCTCGTTGTGGTAGGTAGAACACCACAAGTGGTTCGCCACCTTTTCCTTCGCGATGTCCCTGTCAGGGTCCGAGAAGATGCACGAGCCAGCTTTCTTGCAATCGCCGCGAGGGCAAAAGCCGCGCCACAGCCATTCACTCCCGCTGGAACTCGCGGCCTCCGACGGCCCAACATCGCTGCCCGCCGAGCGCGCCTTGGCCCTTGGCCGCTGAGAAAGAAAACCGTTCTAAACAGATTGAGCCCAGACGAATGCAGATGACTTCTCGCGCGGCCCGCCCCATGGAGCGAATGCAATCGCTGAGAGGAAATGCAACGGGCAGGGGTGCAAGGATGCCGACGCATCGAATGGGGGCTGAGCGAGGAGGTCGAGCACGCCGAGGCGACCGAAGGGGGGAGAGAACGGCCCGCCGCATCTGGGGCACTTCTTTGCGTCAGTAACTTCCCACGAGGGGCTCGCCAAATCTGGGGGCCTTCATTGCGCCAATACCATCCCACGAAGGGACCGCCAAACCTGGGACCCATTTTTGGCGTCAGTAAATTCCTAAAGGGCCCGCCCCAAAAACTGAGACCAGAGATTTTGGCCTGGGTCGCCGCGGAGATTTTGACCTACGAACGGCGCCCGCGGCGTGGATCGCCGCGGAGATTTTGGCCTGGATCGCGGCGGAGGGTGGCGTGGGGATTTTGGCCTGGATCGCGACGAAGAGAGGAGAGATAGACGAGAGAGGTGACCTGCATAGCGATTCAATCGCTTGTGAACTGCATAGCGAGTCAATCGCTGTTTTTGTTCTCAAATGTCCTCGAGGTCATGAGGGTCCCAGGCGGCCTGCGCCCGCGGCGCCCGCGTGCCTTCGGGGGCGCTGCCCTTGCTGCCCTTGCCGTCCTTGCAGCCCTTGCTGCGCTCGGAGAAGGCGCCGCCCTTGCTCTGCTCCTGGCCTTTGCCGCTCCTGGAAGAGGCGCCCTTGCCGCCGCCCATGCCCTTGCAGTCCGAAGGCCGCTTCGGCGCGTGGCCTGCTTGCCAGCCCCAGCCGCCGTAGCCGTACTTCTCCTCGAAGAACTCCCTGGACGTGCCACCGCGTTTCTTCCAACGCCGCTCGCCTTCTGACCATCTGTTGCCGCGCCACATCGTCGGCCCCCCCCCTCGCTTGGAGGAGGCGGGCCGCGCGTGGCCCATGGCACGGCGAACTGCTTTGCCATATCCTCCTCGTCCTTGAGAGCCTGCGGGGTGTTCCACAAGAAGGTCATCCTCGCTTGCTTGCGCCTCGGGTTCTCCGCGTCGCCGTCGCTGTCGGGCTCGCCCTTGCCGCTGGCGCGCCACCCGCCCTTGCAGCCTTTGCCCTTGTCGGCGGCGCTCCGCCCCTCGGACTCTGAGTCTGAGATGGGACCCATGCGGGGCTCTGAGTTTGAGATTGGATTCATGCGCGATTCGTCGCCAGCGCCCCCGCTCTCCTGGGCCCCATCCTGGAACTGCGCAAAGGGGTCGCCCAAAGACAGCAACGATTGCAGTGACCTCTCCGCGTCGTCGGCCATTGTCGCTGGCGCGGCCGCCGAGGCCTTGAGCCGAGGCCATGAGCCGAAATGGCAATGCGAAGGCACGGTCGCAGGGGCGCTCCGCGAGCAAGCGAATGCATCGCTGACACAGGGTTGAGGTGAAGGGAGCGCTGCTTCGATGGGAGGTCGGAGGAAAGCGAATGCATCGCTGACGCAGGGTTGGGGGTTGGCTTGAGGGGTCGAGGCCTCATCCATAACTCTCCCCTCTCACCCTCCTCTCTTCCCTCTCCCCTCTCACCCCTCTCACCCCTCCTACCCCTCTCCAAGTCAGCGGTCCATCACTCTCCCCTCTCACCCCTCTCACCCTGTCTATCCCCAAGCGAATGAATCGCTTAGCGAGTGGATCGCTGTTTTTTTTTGTCATCGCAGGCAACGGTAAGGCACGCCCTCACAAGAGTAAAAGTGAGCGGCTGGGTTCCCTGGGGCGCTCGCGCGGCTTACCCAAACGCTAGGATGCGCTCTCCAGGGCCCCATATACAGAAGCGCGGTAGCGAAATGCATTGGACGCTCTGTCCGAAACACCGCAGCATGACTATGAGCGTGCGGCGTGTGGCACGGCCCAGGCCGAAATACATCTGGCAAAGTGCGTGGCGGACCCAGCGCGGCCGAGAGCGCCTCAGGAAACCTACACACATTATGAGCTACTTACCCAGCAGCTTTGAAATCCTGAGCCGCTCTTTGCAACTCGAGCACCCCTTTTTGGCGTAGCGACACTTCGAACACCCGAGCTTTTTGATGGGCTTGAACAGGGGTGACACGGTGACGCCCTTCCCGTGGCTTTCGCCCGTCGTCTTAGCCCCAGCCTTCGTCGCCTTTGCTTTCGCCTTCCCCTTTGCCTTCACCTTTGCCTTCGGCTTCGGGCCCTCCCCCTTCTCCTTGGCCACGAGTCCGTGCAGGATGTCCTCGGTGACCGAGGCGACATCCTCCTTCCTGGGGGGAGTCGCGTTCCCTTTGGCGACGCTGGCTGCTGCAGGCGTCCCTGGCGACGGTGGCGTTGGCGCTGCTGGCGACGGTGCCCCTTCTGAGGCGGAAGATGGAAGAGAACTCGGGGCAGCGCCCCCCACGGCTGCGAACGCCGAGGCCGCGGCACGTTTCGCGCCGCCCCCCAGGATCTTGAGGTTCAAAGGGCCCGTCTGAGCGCCGACGTCCGCCCGCCGCAAGTTATCGAACATGAGCTGCATCATCTGCAAAACGTCGGGCTGCGACGCCGAGGCGCTCATCATCTGCGCCCCCGTGGCCTGCTGCTTTGTGTTGCGGCATGGGTACGTAGCCTGGACGGAGCGAATCGCGGCTTCTGGCGCGGGGCATGCAGCTGGCAACTCGTCGCCATACACTTGCTTGAAGAAGTCGGGGTGGTTCTCGCAGAACGTCGAGGGGGACGTAGGCAGCTCGGTCAGCCGAACGGGGGGCGCAGGAAGCCTCGAAACCTTCGTGGGTGAAGTTGCGGCCAGGGGAAACTGCCTCCTCCTCCTCCTCCCCCTCCTCCTCCTCCTCCCCCACCCTCCCTTCTCTTAGGTCCCCCTCCCCTCGACGAGGGCCGCAATTTCAGCTGCAGCCTGGCGCTTGAACACGCGCTTGGTCTGCTGGAGGCACGAGTACTTTGCAGCCCACGCCAAATTCTTCGCGGCCTCGGCTCCGTCCACGGCCATGCGCCACATCGCCGTCAACATCTGATACGTGCCTTCGGTCGGGTTGCGAAGACCTAAGCTAATCGCAACATCAACCAGCACGTTGAGCTTCGCTTCCTCGGGCACGTCGGTCCGCGCCAACTGGTGCCACGAGCCCGCTGTCAGGTACCCGAAGATGCACTCATAATCCTGCTGAGCCATTCGCACACCCACGGCGCTGCCAGAAGCCACGATGCCGCCGAGCTTCTCCAACAGCCTCCCCTTGGAAACCTCGGACCAGGGTTGCGCTGCGACGAGAGACGAGAGGGTTGTCACCTGCGTGGGCTGCAGCCTCGCGCTCCCGAAAGCCTGCACGAGCATCCTTTCCTGCGCGGCCGCCACCGTATCGAAACAGGGCTGCCCTTGCACTGCCTCGAGCAATCGCCCGACGGCCTCGACTTGGTCGCGCAAGCGCTGGGCAGCCATGGCTATGCGGCCCCACCCACCCAAAAAAAAAACGCGCGGGCTTGCGTATGCAAACGGCTTCGAATGATGGCGCAGTGGGGGCGGCATGGGCAGGGGCCTCATAGCGAATTCATCGCTTATAGCGAATTGATCGCTCAGATAATTGCACAGCGAATTGATCGCTCAGAGAACCACATAGCGAATTCATCGCTTATAGCGAATTGATCGCTCAGATAATTGCACAGCGAATTGATCGCTCAGAGAACCACATAGCGAATTTATCGCTCATACCCAGGAATGCGTTAGCGAATGCATCGCTGTCATCGCCCTTCCCCCCTCCTTTCTTCTCGCCGTCCTACTGGCTAACTACCGAACCACCGGGGGGGAGGGGAGGGGAGGGGCATGGAAATTGAAGAAGTTATGAAAGTTATAAGATGGTTATATGTCGGTTATAAGTTGTTGTGTAAGTATGGTTAGGGGCACCGTGTAAGTGTAGTTGCGGCTTCGGTAAGTACATTTGCATCTGAGACAGCTACATCTATAAGTGTGATAAGGCACTCTACTTTGCTAAACCGAAGTCGCTACGCCAGTTTCGGGGGGGGGGGGGGGGGGGTTCGAACGGTAGTGACCCCCCCGGTTTTCCGATCAGGAGGGGGGGGGGTGGGGGGGAGGGGTTCGAACGTGTAGTGGCCCCCCCCCGGATTTCGAGGGGTGGGGGGGGGGGGGGGGGGGGAGGGTTTTAGGTGCAGGGGGGGTTTTTGCCGGGGGGAGGGGGGGGGGGGGGGATGAGGGGTTCAGGGGGGGGGGGGATTTTCGGATTGGGGGGGGGGGGGGGGGGCGACCCCCGGGCTCCAGAGGAAAAGGTTGGCAATTTTCCACAGTAAAGCGGCGGTGGATCACGCTCTCTCTAACATTTAGGAGGAGGAGGAGGAGAAGGAGGCCAGAAGGAATACGTAACGAGAATCGTTGACATAAGAATACGGATAAAGGGGACAAGCTCTGAGGAGGAGGAGGAAGAAAACGAGAGGAGTGCGAAGGGGATGGTTTGATATTACGTCTGATGCGGGGCAACATGCGAGTAGTCGAAAGATGAGGATGCGGAGTATGCCACGCTTTCCGGATGGTCCCAAGCGCAGAGGTGTGCGCTCTGAACGATGCGGTGTTCGAGATGGCCCAGGAACTCTGCACAATCAACCCGATGATCAACTGCTACACGGGGCGGCAATTCGAACAGATCAGAGGCAAGCGCTCGCCTCGCCAAGCCGCTTTTCAGTTGCTACTGCCTTCGCCGTCTCCCTGTCGACGGCGAGCCCTCGTTACCTCGCCCCCTAGCTGGTTCAGCTGTTCTCACTGCTCCAACGATGAGGGTGCTATGCGCGCTGCGGGCACATCGCAATTCGTGAATGCTGGAGGGGGGGTCTGGCGGAGGAGCAGGGATGTCCAGGAAGGGGATATTGTCTTGCGGACCAGAAGCTGCCCTTTCGAGGCCGTGCATTCGAAGACCTTCCGTCTTTTTGTTCGGGGCTTTGGAGATCTGGGCATCTGGGCCGGATGATGAGGTTGGGCTGGAGAGGCTGGTACTTCAGCGAGCTGCCGAGGCACCTGGCCAACATCGAGGCCGCGGATGTCGCCTGCCGGCCCTCGGTTTCAGGCCCCTTCCTCCGCGGATCGAGGTTCACGCATCCATTTTCTGTCACAGTTGTTTGGGGCAGACAGTCCCGCATCTTCGCGAGAAACTACGACATCGAAGGTCTGGATTTCATCGCGTTCTTGCTCTAGCTTCTTTCAATCATCCTGCTCTGGCCCGATTCGATCTCCTGTAAGGTAGCATGTTTTCCTCCTGTTCCTCTTGCTCCTCCTCCTGAGTTGGAAAGCCCGCAACAGCCTAGTACGGGTCCAAAACAACCCCCCAGTGCCCTGAACCTCGTCCAAGTGTTCCTCCTTCGCTCTCCCTCCTCGCCTCCCCCCCGCCCTGACGACGACGACCACGGCGTCGTCGTCTTCGAGGCGCAGTCTCTTCAAAACAGAGAGAGCGTGATCCACCGCCGCTTTACTATGGAAAATTGCCCCCCTTTTCCTCGGGAACCCGAGGTTCCCCCCCCCCCCGCAAATCCCCCCCCCCCTGCTGCACCTCCCCTCCCCCCCCCCCCTCACCCCGTCAAACCCCCCCACCCCCCCGTCCCCTAACCCCCCCCCCCTACCCCTCGTAAACACCCGGGGTGTCACATACCTCTTCGAACCCCCCCCCCCTCGAAAAAACAGGGGGGTCACTACCGGTTCGAACCCCCCCCACCCCCCCCCACTCACCGCCAGCAAACGACTCCCGTCCCTACCACCGTCCGCACCACATCCCCCACTGTTGTTCCCAGCACCACTGTCCTCACCACCACTGTCCCCACTGGTTCCACCACCGTCCCTACTGTCCCCACCAGTGCCCCCACCACTGTCGCACTGTCCCCACTGTCCCCACCACTGTTCCCACCACGGTTCCACTCTCCCCACTTTCTCCACGGCCCCAACCACTGCCCGACTATCCCCACTGTCCCCACTGTCCCACTGACTCCTCCGCTGTCCCACTGAGCTGTCCCACTGTTCCCACCACTGTCCCCACTGTCCCCACCACTGTCCCCACTGTACCTCTGTCCCATTGTCCCACCGCCGTCCTCGCCACCGCTTCACCACTGTCCCCACCACCACTGTACCCTCCACTGTCCCATGTTTCCACCTCATTCCCACTGTCCCCACACCACTGTCCCCACCACCACCGTCCCCACCACTGTCCCACTGTCCCCACTGTTCCCACCATTGTCCTCACCACTGTCCCCACCACTACCGTCCCCACCACTGTCCCACTGTCCCCACCACTGTCCCGCTGTCCCCTCACCACTGTCCCCACCACCACCGTCCCCACCACTGTCCGCACCTTCGAACCGGTAGTGACCCGCCCCGGTTTTCGAGAGGGAGGGGGGGGGAGGGGTTCGAACCGGTAGTGATGCCCCCCCCTTTTCATGATGGACTGGGGGGGGGGGCCGAGGGAGGGGTCCGAACCGGTAGTGACCCCCCTCGGTTTTCAGGAGGGGGGGGGGGAGGGGTTCGAACCGGTAGTGACCCCCCCCGGTTTTCCGCCAGCAGCGGTAGAACACGCTCTTTCTCAAAACAGAACAGGAACCCAACACGACGGGATGGTTGGGAACAACCACGCAGCACACACCAGCAACACAAATCACACATCTCACACTAGCAATCAACATCGCACAACACACGCGGCACGTATTGCTGGTGCGTGCTGTGCCTATTTCACCTGATAGTGGTAATCACAGCGGCGACGATGATAATGACCGCGACGATATCGATGACGACGACGATGGCGACGACGGTCATGGTGAGGATGATGATCACAACGACAACGACGACGACAACGACGACTTGGTACCCAGCTGTACCAAGCAACGTCGTCGTCATGTGTGCGCGTGTTTCTGTGCCACGGCCCAAGATCCATATCTTTTTCCACTCGGTAACACAGGGATTACATGTGCACCGCCGTGCTGCAACATAATCTACAGCAGCTCAGCAAACCCAGGAATACGACAGTTGTGTGTTGTTAACGTTTTGCTATACGATGTTGTTGTTTGCTGCTTGTTGGTGTCTTCTGATGTTTTTGTTGATGGTTGCTGTGTTATGTTGTTGGTTGTGTGTCTTGCTTCTTTCTTCGTGGGGAAGAAAGTGTTGTATTTTTTTGGTTTCTGGTTGGTGTGTTTCGATGCTTTGTCTTGTGTTAACTTGTTGCTTTTAAGTTTTTGATTGTTGTTGATGTTGTTTGGGTTTGATTTGTTGTGTGTTTGCTTGTATTTGATTGTGTCTGAGGCTTTCGTGATGTTTATTTGTTTTTGGTTGTTTTCTTGAACAAAATCGTTTTTCATGATGTTATTGGTTTTTGATGCGGGTTTCATGTTTCTGCATTCTTCTGCAATTCAGTCAGTTGTTTTTGGATATTTGTGGTCGGTGAATGGTTGGTGAGTTGTCGGTGGTGGTCGGTGGGTGGTCGGTGGGTGGCCGGTGGCGACCAACCGCCAGCCAACAATATCCAAACCAGCTGACAAAATTTAAGAAGCATGCGAAAACATGAACTCCTCATCAAAAATCAATAAAATCACAGGGTTATGAAACTTGCCATCGAAGACAACATCCATAGAGAAACACCAGCCAAAAACCAATGGAACAATCAAAAAGCAATCAACAAACACAATCAAACACGGCAAAAACCATAGACACACACATCAACCATCAACAAATATTTACAGCATAAACAACCAGAGACAAAGCGCCAACAATCAACAAACAAACGTCAACACGTACCAACAAGCAGCAACACAACAACCAAATCTTATAGCACCACACAAACAACAAACATCTGTTGTATTCCCGTGTGTGCTGGGCTGATGTATTTTTGGTTGCAGCACCACGGTGCCCTTTTAATCCTTGTGATTTCGGGAAGAAACGCATACGGACCTCCTTGGGCCGTGGCACAGAAAGACGCACATACATGACGACGACGTTGCTTTGTAAAACTATGCACCCAGTCGTCGTCGTCGCCGTCGTCGTCGTGATCACCATCCTCATCATAGCCGTCGTCACCATGGTCATATTGCGTGTCGTCGTTATCGTCGCCGATATGATATCGACGACGATGACGACGACATCGACAATACCGTTGTCGCCATTATCACCGTTGTCGCCTTTCGACGTCATCATCTTCATCAGGCGTAACAACAAGCAGCACACACCAGCCATGTTTACTGTGTGCATGTCCTGTGTGATTTTTGTTGCTGGCGTTTGATGTGCGATTTTTGTTGTGGATGTGTGCTTCGTGATTGTTTGCAACCGTCCTGTGATTTTGGGTTCTCATTTTGAAGCGACAGCGCCCCGAGGCCTCTCGTTTCCTCCTCCGCGCCCCCCTCTCGTCGCCTCTTTGCTTGTGTTCTCCGCATGTCACGACCACGATGGACAGCTGGAGGAGAAAAAACAGATGAATACACATTTTGACGTTTGGGGGTCACGTTTTTGGTGTTTTCGTCGATCTCGGGCCCAGAACGGGCTCAGACTAGCGCGTCTCGTCCTGTTGCGAGCTCTGCCATTCCTGAACGGTTAAAGAGCTTTCAAGACCGGGTTCGGCGTTTGCCGTAACCATGGGGCTCAAGGCTCAAACTTGCGCCCTCGGGTCCGATACGTGTTCGCAGCCGACGGGGAGGCTCATGCCTGCTGGGCACAGCGCCCTTGTTTCACTCACCAGTCGTGCAACATGCCACGCTCCGCCACATTTTCTGCGGATCCTCCGCGCAAGCGGGCGGTGCCAGCAATCGTACTAGTATGACCCGTCGTGACAAACGTGAGGAGGACAGCTCGCCCGCGCCGCCACGTGCCGGGCGCAGGCCGAGCTACCAGAGTCGGCGTCGGAAATTACGGGCTATATCAAGATCCGCACGAAGTCGCAGCGGTGGTACGCCCCGAGCTTCAAACCACCAGGGAGTTATTCAAACAGCGTTCAATATGACCGTCGACACTCAAGAGGTGCAACAGCCCAGGAGGGATGTGCAGGCATCATGTCTGCCGGCCTCGCAGTTCGGCGAGGCGTTCAACGAGTTGCGCGTCGAGACCAGCATGTCGCTAGAGGCCACAGAGAAGTTGGCGGCGGACTTGGGGGGCGAGTTCGGGGGGCGCCTCGCCGCAGTGGGGCCAAGCATGGAGCGCAGCCAGTTGACGACGACATGGACGAGCTCGTGCCCAAGAAAGTTCAGAAGCAGGTGGCGGAGATCTCGAAGAAGCCATGGGCCATGACTCAGAGTCCTGCTGGGCGCCGCAGGGGACAATGCGGGTGGCGGTCACCATGCGCAGGGCGGCGCCTGTCGGCTGACCCTCGTTGGCTTCGATTCGCAGCTCACGCGGGGAAATCTTCGTCGGGCCGAGGAGCAAGCGCGCGCCCGGTGCGCGCCGCACTCGGACTGCGGCAGCATCGGACGGCCATCCTCGACTTCCCGACGGCTACGAAGCGCGACGACATCTTTCGCGCTGTGCAGAGCCAGGGGCCGCCCCAGTTCCCGAGCCCGATCGCCCCAGGCAGCAAATGCGACTTCCAATGAAGGGGGCGCATCAGTGCGCGGGCCAGACGGCAGTTCGCGGCGACGGGTCGCGTTCACAAGGTGGTAACGGTCGGCTTGGTTGGCAGGTTCGGAGTTGGCTCGAACGATTTCGGAGGCACGGTCTTCGCGATGCGCAGCGAGGAGCGCCCAGAACGCCCGCGCAGCTGCAGATGGACGGCGACGCCTCTGAGCACGCCATCGAGGAGCAGTCTTTTGGTGGAGTTCGGTATCTAGCAGTCGCTGCCCCAGGTGAAGAATGCTTTGTTGGTCGCTCTTTGAACCTGCGCCTCGTAGCCGCGGCCCGCTGACGCGCGGCGCCGCGCGTCCGCGGGCCGTCGCTGGCGATCGCGCGAAGGCGGGAGCGACGGGGCCTCGCTTGCGGCGCGCCGCGTTCAGGTGGCAGTTTTTGTCGCCAGCTCACATGCCCGCTGCACTTACTGCGCCGCCCATCGTGGCAAGCCATAGTTTGGCGTTGCAGGTGCGCAGAAAAGGTTGCCAGGGACTGAGCACGAAGCTGTCCTTTGTCTGGCGTTGCAGAGGCGCGCCTCCGACATCGGCCCCGGCGCCCCCCCGGCACGACGCCGTGCCCGCCTCGACATTGCCCCCGACGTCTCCCCGCAATCGCCCGCGGCGCCCCCCTTGGCGTCGGGTCTATGGCGGCGCGGCGCCATGGCGGCGTCGGGGCGCTTTCGGAGCGACGTCGGGGCGGCGCCCGGGGCGCGCGGAGGCGACGGCGAGGAGGCGGCGGGGAAGGGGCAGGGAGTCGGCGAGGAGGCGGCCCGCCCCCCCGCTCACCCCCCGGGCGGCGGAGCATTGTGTGCCGCGGGAAGAGCGCGGACGCGGGTGAGGCCCTGGCGCGGGGCACACCCGCAACGAGAAACTTGTTTGCCAGGGGGGGGGGCGTGGAGAGCCCGCCCGAACCCCCTCTGGGCGCCGCCGCTGACGTCGCCCCGGCACCGCCCCGACATCGCGCCGATGCGATGTCGGGGGGGGGGGGGGGGGGGGGGGGGCGGGGGGGCCGGGGCGCCGTCAGACCCCCGCCGCATTCAGAGCGATGTCGGGGCGGGTTCGCGGTCGCCCCAGACCGCCCTCTTGCGCTTGCCCCAGGGGCCCGGAGGAGTATTTGTCCGGCGCGCCGCGCAGGCCGCAGTCTGTAGATCGCTGGCTGACCCAGGCGGGGCCCCCGAGGGCCATCGCGAGGTTCGAGGCGCCCCGTTGAGCCCCCTCTCCTCGGCGACGGCCTGCGCGCGGAACGCCGACGGGCTCGTTGGGCGAAGCGGGGGGGGGGGTCGATTCAATCTATGAAATCCAGCGCTGACATTCTCTCTTTCTCTCTCTCTCACTCTCGTTCTAGATACACGCATGGTACAGACACACAGACATCTGCTCTCTCTCTCTTTTTTCTCTCTCTCTCGCGCTCTCTTCTCTCTCTCTCTCTCTCTCGATCTCTCTCTCCTTTTGTTCTCTATCTCTACCTTCCTCTCTATCCATCTCATCCTCCCTACTCTCATCTCTCTCCCTCTCTCTCTCTCTCTCTTTCTCTTTCGCTCTCTCTCTCTCTCTCTCTCTCTCTCTCTCTCTCTCCCTCTCTTCTCTCTCCTCTCTCATCTTTCTCGCTCTCTCTCTCTCGCTCTTTCTCTCCTCTTGCCTCTCTCTCTCTCTCTCTCTCTCTCTTCTCTCTCATTCCCCCTCTCTCTCTTCTCTATCTCGCTCTCTCTCTACTCTCTCGCTCTCTCTCTCTCTCTCTCCTTTTTTTTTCTCTCTCTCTCTCTCCTCTCTCCTCTCTCTCTCATCTCTTTGTCTTTTTTTTCTCTCTCTCTCTCTCTCTCTCTCTCCTCTCTCTACTCTCTCCTCTTTCTTTCTTTTCTCTCTCTCTCTCTCGCTCTCATCTCTCTCTCTCTTTTCCCCCCCTTTTCCCCTCTCCACCCCCCCTCTGTTGGTTTATTTGTTTCGTTGTTATCCTAGTGTATGCATGTATGTATTTAGGTTGTTTGTCGTATGTTTATGTTGTCTTGTTTGTTGTTTTCTATATATATATATATATATAGCCATCTGCTGCTCCCTCCCTCTCTTCGTTCGTTGTTCCTCGTTCTCTCTTCGTCTCTCTCTTCGTTCGTTGTTCGCCATCGTTTTCTCTCTTCGTTCGTTGTTCCTCTCCCTCTCTCGCTCTCGCTCTCTCTCTCTCTCTCTCTCTTTCTATCTCTCTCTCTCTCTCTTTCTCTCTCGATCTATCCCTCTCTCTCTCTCTCTCTCTCTTTATCTCCTTTTCGTTTTTTTCTCTCTCTCTCTTCTCTCTCCTTCCCACTTGTTCTTGTTTTGTTGTTTTCTCTCTCTTCTCTCTTTCTCTCTCTCTCTCTTCTTTCTTTTCTCTTTCTCTCTTCTCTCTCTCTTCGTTCGTCTGTTCTTTCCTCTTTCTTCTCTCTTCGTTCTTCTCTCTCTCTCTCTCTCTCTCTTTTATTTTATATTTCTCTCTCTCTCTCTCTCTCTCTCTTTCTATCTCTCTCTCTCTCTCTTTCTCTCTCGATCTATCCCTCTCTCTCTCTCTCTCTCTCTTTTTCTCTTTTCGTTTTTTCTCTCTCTCTCTCTCTCTCCTTCCCACTTGCTTCTGTTTTGTTTTCTCTCTCTCTCTCTCTTTCTCTCTCTCTCTCTCTCTTTCTCTTTCTCTTTCTCTCTCTCTCTCTCTCTTTCTTTTTATTTATGTATGTCTTTCTTTCTCTCTCTCTCTCTCTCTCATTCTCTCTCTCTCTCTCTCTCTCTCTCTCTCTCTCTCTTTCTCTCTCTTTCTTTTTATTTATGTATTTCTTTCCTTCTCTCTCTCTCTCTATCTATCTCTCTCTCTCTCTCTCTCTCCCTTTCTTCCTCTCTCTTTCTTTCTCTCCTCTCTCTCTCTCTCTCTCTCTCTCTCTCTCCCTCTCTTTATTTTTTTTTCTCTCTCTCTCTCTCTCTTCTTTTTTCTCACTCTCTCTCTTTCTCTCTCTCTCTCTCTCTCTCTCTCTCTCTCTCTCTCTCTCTCTCTCTCTCTCTCTCATCGAGCGCCCCCCGCTGCCGCCGCGGGCGGCTTCGGCTGGCCCCCCTTGCAGCTCTCCGGCCCCGCGGGCGGCCGCGGCTCTCCTACTGGGTCGGGGCGGCCATCTGCGCGCCATCGATCCGCTGCCATCGCGCAGCGCGAGGCGCCGTCGACGACCTTCGCCTGTCCGCGCAAACTGGACAAGGCGGCGGCCCTATCGGCCAGCCCCCTCAGGCCCTCGATCAGCTCAACTGGACCTGGCCCACCAAATGTGTCATGTAGGACGACTGAGGCACTGCCGCCGCGCGGCCCCCCCTGCCGCCCGGCTGCCTTGCCCGCGCTCTCCGTGCAGACGCGGTCCTTCCGCGCAAGGTCAACCCCTCCCGGCACGACCGCGGCGCCCTAGCGCCAGCGCACCAGGGCGTCAACGCGCGCGCCTGCGCGGGCCTCCTGCGCGCAAAGTGCCAGCTCGAGCGCGCCGCCTGGCGAGCGGGGCTCCTCGCCAACTACCCGGCCGGAGACGACCGTGCGCAACGGCGTCTCCACTGTGCCGCGCGCGTTGCCGACGACTCCCCGACGCGCCGATGCTGCGACCAGGAGGAAGAGACGCAAGCACGCATCATGCGGCGATGCCCGCGCTGGCCCCCTACCTTGGTCTCTGACCAACAGTGGGCTCAGTTCCCGCCGCGCGCGCGCCTTTGCGGGCTCTTGTCGGGGGGCCCTCAGCCCCTGGGCCCGCAGAAAAAAAATGGCACAGAGCCCGCTTCCCCAGGCGGCCCCCTGGCCCCCGCAGGGCCACGCGGCAAGAATGCCCTGAACCGACGGCGCGCGCTGGGTCTACGCGGCTACTGACGGGGCCTGTCCCCGCCAAGCGAACCCGCTGCTCGCGCGGGCAGGCTTCGCACTTTCTATGGGGCCGATCGCCGTTTTAACCCCTCCGCCAGAGTGCATTGGCTCGCTTAGTCCGCTCGGCGCGCCGAGACCCTGGCCGTCCTCCACGCCGCGTCTGCCGCCGAAAGGCCCGTTCACATCTCCGTGGGCAACCGGGCGGTCCACGACGCCTTCGGGCTCCTGCTGAACGGCGTTCCGCCCCAGCCGTGGGCGGGCAGGCTGATCTCTGGGAGCGAGTGCGCCAAGCTGTCCACTGTCGCGCCGATTCCTTGCGCGTCGAAGAAGTCCCCAGCCTGCGCCGATCAGTTCAGTTTCACCCAGCCCGCTGCTGCAGTCTGAGTGGGCCCGCAGGCCTGTCCTAGCTAGTTAGCCTCGTTCGTGGCCCGGACGTCGCCTTCGCCGCCTGCCCCCTGTCTCGCGGCCGCGACCAAAAAAGAAGTCCCCAGCCACAGGGGCGAAGACGGGGCCAACGCCGGTCTGCTCTCAGTCACCGCGGAATACCCCAACGAGAAGGCTGACGACTTGGCCACTGGCGCGGCGGATCTCCACGCGCGCTGTCGCCGCGGCTCTCTGCGACGCCGCCGAGCGGCGCTTCCGGCTGGCCGTGATCCTTCAGACCGCTGCTGCGATCATCTTCGACAAACGCGCCCACTCTCGACCCCTGCCCCGCCGACGGGCCGGCCGCGCCAACGCTGAGCTCGGTCGAATGGAACCTCGCCCACGGGCTGGCCCAGCAGCTGATCCCCCGGTGCAAGTGGTCGACGACGCCCGCCAGGGAGTCTCGGAAGAGGGCGCGCACCTCGTGCTCTATGGCCCCCCGTCGTCCCTGGACGAGCCTGGGGGTGCACCGTCCGAAGAAGACTATGACCCCCTCGGCCTCCGGTGGTCAATGGACGGCTCCCAGGACGGCAACGAGCCTCCTCCTGGCGGACGGCCCATCGACGGATTGCCTCAGGCGCCACCCCGCGCGTCACAAGGCCCGCCTCAGGCGCGGCACTCCCGCGACACCACCCTAACTCCAAGGTTGGCGAAGGGCCCCTGGCGTCGCTGCTGAAGCCCCACCCCCGCCCTCAGATACAAGGGGCACCCGCCGAGGCAACAGAAACGCCAGAGAGCTCGACTCACGCGACCACCGCGCGCCTCAAGCTGCCACTGACCCGCTGATCCAACGCGCGCATGACGCCCGAGCAATCTGGGTCGACCACCTCGCCCGCATCACATCTTGGTGGTTCCCCGACCTCTGGCAACCTGGACAGAGGCAAACCAATGTGGCTCCTCTACTGCGTCGAGGAGGTCCTCCGTATTCTCCAGACGGTTGCTTCCGTTGGCCTCTACATACAGACATTGACCTGCCACCGCGGGAGGCGGCCGACCTCCAGAGGCGCCGCGCGCTTGATTTTTGCGAAGAATCCCGGGGCCGAGGCGACCAGGGACGCCGCGACCAGGTTTTGCGCTGAACCGCGCAATCCAACAGATGAGCGACGCATGCCGAGATGCTATGGACGCGCGCTTGGATCGCCTGGGCCCCCACTGGGGTGCCAAAGCCGGCCCCGGCCCTGGCCCGCCCGCAGTCCGCTGCACCGCCCCGCCCGCCAGACGACGGCGCACCGCACCCCGAATCGGCACCCTCGCGCGGGCCCGCCAAGCGACAGCGGCGTGGCCGCACGGCTATGTTCTCTTTCGACGGGCACCACTGTCTCGGGCATGCCGACCCCTTCGCCAGCAATTACTTCAGATCCACATGGGGGCGGCGGAGACGGCGGGGGCGATCGCGCCGCCGCCGCCGCCGCTGCGCGAGCCAAGGGGCGCTCAAAACGCAACGAAACGCGGTCGCAACGCAGCCAAGCGCGCGCGGCTGCGCAACGGTAGCGGCCCCAATTCCTCTGATCCAGACGACCTTCTTTGTTTCAACGTGCTTTAGAGTTTCTCGCCAGACGAACCTCCTCGTCGCCATTTCTTTCAACGTGGGTCGCCCCTGCGGTTTTATAGTTCAATTTCTTCTGCATCCCCTCAACTTCTTTCATATCTTCTGACGCCCTCTCCATCCAGATTACCAGCAGGAAACGCTACTGCACCAGAACTCATTGAGGGGCCGTTGCTCTTTCAAAAACCTGTTCGCGATGTCCCTGGGCGCGCTCAATATTCCCCCCCGCCGCCGACGCCGCCGCCACGTGGATGCGCATGAGCGATGGCGGGCCAAGCGGCCCCGATCCCCATGGGCCGAGCGACCCGCCTGGACAAGCACTTGGCACTTCCACCGGCGCCCCCCCAGGCGTAGACCCCGAGGGACCAGCGCAGCACGGCCCCCCGCCACTCCTCCGACGGCTCCGCATGCTTGGCTCAGCTGTGGGGGGGGGGACACAGCAGCGACGTCTCCATAAGTTGCGCCAGCAACTCTTCCACTAGAGACCCGCCCCTGTCGACCCCAGGACCGCGCCGCCCTGGCCCAGCCCATTATGGCCACCAGCCGTCGGTCGCCACTGCGCCCGACCGGCCACGCAGCCTCCTAGGCCCAGGCCTCGGGAAGTGGAGTTGCCCCTGCCCTCACCGTTCACCGGCCAGCGCGGGCCCTGCTTCGCCGGCCCAGCCCGCTGGCTCCACCGGCCACGCGGCGCCTCCAGACCCGCGCCCAGGCGCGGCATCTCGCGATCCCCGACAAATCAGCGGGGCCTTACCGCCGCTCCTGGCCCGTCTTGGACCATGCATCGGCGCCCCGAAAGTTTATTCCGATTTGAAAGGCACGGCGCCGCGCGAATGCGGTGCAAACGCCATGCTGGAAGGGCGTGGCAATGCGTGCCCCTGGACAGGCGAGAGCAGCCGCGCCCCCGGGCGAACCCCGATCCCGCGCGGGGCGCGTTCCCGTTGACAATGGCTCACCCGGGAAACCGTTTCTTATGCAGGAAGTCCTGAGCGGTCTGCCCATCGCTTCTTCGGACGAGGCCCAGAACCACCGAATAACCGTTTTTGATAATAAACTATGCCCATGCTCGGCTTCTTCGGAGTGGGCCCGAAGACCTCGAGAACGACGTTTTGTTTTTTTGGTTTTTTTGCGAGGAGTCCTGGGCGGTTTGCACATTTTCGGGTCGTTCGAACCGGACCCGAATTTTTTGTTTGGCACAAGTCCGATGGGATTTGGCCACATTCAGGTCGGCCAGTAAATTTTTCGGGTCGTCGCATGACCGAACCCGAAAGTAATTTTCAAGGAGGTCCTATGCCGTTTGCTCATTGTCGGGTCAGCGCACGGTTTGGGATTTGAAAAATTTGAATTGGGAAGGGGGACCCGATCCCGCGACCCCGGGCGGGGGTAGGCTCTGCCCTTGTGATGTAATGGGCGCCTTCCGGCCAAACGGGGTGCTGGGCTGCCCACCGGCGCGCCGACTCTGCCCTCGCGACATCGCCCCCATCCGCCCTCGGGCCCCGCGAGTTTTATCCTGCTTGCGCCACCCCACATGGCCGCGGCGAGCACGGTGGCGAAATTGTGGAGACTGTCGGATCGGCGCAGTATTGAGGCTTCAAAAGCAAATCTGAAGCGAAACGGCGAGACGGCAACACGCTTCGATTTTCCTTAGTAGGTTTCGGAGGGCTCGGCGGGCACTGGGGACTGTCTCGGGGCCATATTGAGACCTCTTGGATGTGCGTCGGAGGCGAGCTATCTTGAGCCATCTTGGGGTATATTGACCCCTCTTGGAGACCATCTTGGGCTCGCGGGGGCCCTGTTGGAACCATCTTGGACCAAAAAGCACCCTTTGACACATGCTCCCCCCCGTCCCTGGGGAGGGGTCGGGGGAGGGGTCTAGACACCCCCTAGATAGCAAACCGTGTAGTTCACTCCCACCCGCCCTTCCAACACATAAGTAACACCCGCGCCTGAGCATGTTCAGCGGTCGTCTGTGGATGGGCAACTCCACGCGCGCCAGGTACCCCTGGGGCCCGAGCGTGCCAGGCACGCCTGGTGCGCCAGATGCACCACGCGCTCCGCGTGCGCCAGGTGTGCCGCACACTCCAGCCGCGCCAGGTGCGCCACGTTCGGGGCACGCGCGCCGTGTGCTAGGTGCGCCTGCGCACGTGACAGCACACATCGGTAAACATGTCGCCCCCCACCATCCTTGTCGAAAACCAGTGTCCATCATTCAGTCTGGTGGGCCCGCGCACAGCAGGCCATGCGCTACCACCCCCGCCTTCCCTGTCAAAGCCCAGTTGGCAGAGAGTGCGGGGTGGCCGCGCATGATCCAGATTTAACCGCGATGTGCATGTGGTGTTTTTTTGTTAGGGATGGTCGCATTGCGCGCAGCAGGCAATATGGTGACCCCCCCGCCGCCCAGGTCAAAAACAATACAAATTACTCGCGGGCCAAAGGAACATGACTCAAGACTTTGCCCCAACAAATATTTTTGTTGACAGGAACGGTGGCGGGGGGCCGCATCGGGCCGCGCATGCTCCAAATGTGGAGGCAGAGTGCGTTTTGGATTGTTTGTTGGCAGGGATGGTGGCGGGGCTGAGCATGGAGTCCTCATGTTTCCTGGTTGGCTGCCGGTCGCCTGGGGGAGGGGGTGTATATTGATAGGGAAGATGGTTTTGGAGGGAAGAAGACGCAAGTTCATTAAACCACCTACGCCCAGAGGGTTGTTGGGATTCCTAACGTTCGATCCTTGCAGGTGCCCGCTTTCGTCGCTGGTAACTAGTTGTTTTCGCGCGTCTGCCTCACTGGCCGCTGCGCATTTCTTAGAATACAGCTCGCATGTCTGATTACATGGTGTGTTGTAACGGAGGGGCAGAAGCGAACACCATTCGGGGGCGATGCACATGATTGCCACGGCCAACGATGTGCGAGTGTCGTGCACTCCTCTCTCTCTCTCTCTCCTTTTTTCTCTATCGATATCCTTCTGTTTGGCTCTCTCTTTCGCTGCCCCCCCCGCTCCTTCTTCTTCTCGCTTTCTTTATCGCTGTCTCTCCCTCTTTATTGTTGTTATTCTCTCGCTCTCTCTATCTCTCTGTTTTTCTCCCTAAACATATGCAGGTACACGTAGCTGTTCCCGGATTGTTGTGCAAGAGCCGACCTCTATCTCATGTGATATATCTTCCTTAGGCTTCCTCTTCTTCATGGTCATCATCATCATCATCATCATCATCATCAACATCATCATCATGTTCGACGGCGGCAGCCGCAATGGGCACTACGGCTGCGGCTATGTCTTGCGTTGCTGGCGTGACGACCTCGCCGTGCCGGACTGGGCGGTACTAGCCAGAGGCAATTATTATATAGGACGTAATACGACGGTGACGAATGCTGAACTCACAGGCTGCGAAAAGCTGGTCAACCTCATCTGCAAAGTACTCCGATGTAACTCTAAGCTGGAGCTCGCCCACTTGACGATGTGACCCCGGCGGCCTTGTGCGGGCTCCGTGCAGCCGGCGGGTGAGATTCAAGAGGATTCCAGATGCCTTTCATGACTCATGATACAATGGCTGCAAATCAAAAAAATCAGCATCACCATCATCGTCATCATCAGCATCAACACCACCATCACCAGCATCATCATCGTTATCATCATCATCATCATCATCAGCAGCAGCAGCACCATCATCATCATCGTCATTGTCATCGTCATCGTCATCAACAACATCTTCATCAACGTCGTCATCGTCGGCATTCACCTCCCTCCTTCGGTACGCTATTGTCGTCGTCCGCGCGTCCCCCCTCCCTCGCCGTGAACCTTACTCGAATCCCTGTCAGCGTTCTCCCCCACGTCCTCCATGGAGATGGTGGCCCAAGTCTGATGCCACTACGGGTAGGGATCCCGACTCGCCACCGATGGCCTTAATACCTTACTGGCAGTTTCTCTTGATGCCGACAGTTTGGCCCGTTCTCATGATATGGTCGCCTTGGTTATGGCCGCCAGCATCGTCATCACCATCAGCATCCTACCCTTGCTGCTGCTGCCTCAGCCCCAGTCCATAATTCCTGCCGTTGCTGGTGCCTGACCCTCTCCACTCTCTGCGCGAGAGACGTCGAAGTCATAGCCCTTCACTTGGATGTCTCTTCGTCCTCATCCTCGCTATCCTCCTCGGGCTCCTTCTTCTCATTGGCAGCCCTCACCCAGGAGTTCCAACATGAGCAAAGGGCTCACGACGTCGTCGTGACTGCAGGGCGAGTGTTTGCGGGTGGGGTAGGAGGAGGAAGAGGGGAATGAAGGGGGGAATGGGGAGGGGGGTGGAGGAGGAAGAGGAGGAGAAGGAGGAAAGAGGAGGACGAGGAGGAGGGAAAGTATGAAAAGGAGGAGAAGTGCCTGCTGCAGCCTTGTTGCTGGCGCCCTGCCCCTCCATAGCCATTTTGGCTGCAGCCTTTGTCCCACCGAGACCCTCGGCATCCCTGGCGCGCCCGCGCCTGAGCCTTCACCCGCGACCTCCGACGTCGCGAGAGAAGACATGACGCCGTCGAGCAAAAACAGCATCGGCACGCTTCAGGCCGATGCCATCGGCCTCGCTCTGCAACGTGCCATCGGCGGACTGTTCGAAATCTTGGCCTCATGGAGCCGAGATTTCGAACAATGCGCCCGCCGTGACCGGGCTACACGTGAGAGTGACTCTTTGCTGGAGTGTCTTATAGTGCGAGCCAAAATGGGGTAGGGAGTTTGTGTTGGGGTGGATTGCGTCCGGCCTCTCGTCGGCGCACGCAGAGTGGGGTTGCGCTTGCATCCGAGCGCATTTGGGTTGGGGGCCCCATGATTATTCACCGTGGACTGCAACGTATACAAAGCGCATTCTACAGCGCGCGTTCGTTTCCCGGGGCCGGGCGGTACGTTTTCCTCCGCGGGTCTTGTTCCGAATCGACCGCCGTGAACAATTTCTTCTATAGCCGCAAGAAGCGCAAGAACCGTAATGATTGTCACACTCACGCCCCTCACTTGAATTTTTCCCAACCATCCTGTGGTGTTGGGTCCTCGTTTTGAAGAGACGGTGGCCCGCGTCCCTCCTCTCCTCCTCCTCCCCTTCCTTCCTCCCCCCTCCCATCGTCATCATCATGACATACCCCTCACACGTTTCGTGGCCGCATAGGGAGCTCCACCTAAGGCCCCAGTGGCGCAGTTCGCATGGCGGCGCCGCCCTACTTTGGTACACCCCTCACACGTTTCGTGGCCCCACAGGGAGCTCAACCTACGGTCCCAGTGGCGCAGTTCGCATGGCGGCGCCGCCCCACTTTGGCACACCCCTCACACGTTTCGTGGCCCCACAGGGAGCTCAACCTACGGTCCCAGTGGCGCAGTTCGCATGGCGGCGCCGCCCACTTTGGCACACCCCTCACACGTTTCGTGACCCCACAGGGAGCTCAACCTACGGTCCCAGTGGCGCAGTTCGCATGGCGGCGCCGCCCCACTTTGGCACACCCCTCACACGTTTCGTGGCCCCACAGGGAGCTAACCTACGGTCCCAGTGGCGCAGTTCGCATGGCGGCGCCGCCCCACTTTGGCACACCCCTCACACGCTTCGTGGCCCCACAGGGAGCTCAACCTACGGTCCCAGTGGCGCAGTTCGCATGGCGGCGCCGCCCCACTTTGGCACACCCCTCACACGCTTCGTGGCCCCACAGGGAGCTCAACCTAGGTCCCAGTGGCGCAGTTCGCATGGCGGCGCCCCCCGACTTTGGCACACCCCTCACACGTTTCGTGGCCCCACAGGGAGTTCAACCTTCGGTCCCAGTGGCGCAGTTCGCATGGCGGCGCCGCCCCACTTTGGCACACCCCTCACACGTTTCGTGGCCCCACATGGAGCTCAACCTACGGTCCCAGTGGCGCAGTTCGCATGGCGGCGCCGCCCCACTTTGGCACACCCCTCACACGTTTCGTGGCCCCATCGGGAATTTCCCCTGCTGCGTCCCGCCTGCCCGGCGGCACTCGCACTTGCATATGGTTTGGCCCTTCGCTAGGATAATTTATTTGCGTTCCCTGAGGAGGAGGCCCGTGGGGGTCAGAAAAGAGGCCACGATTCCAGACCTGGACAGACATCATCGCAATGCGGCCCAGTAGTGCCAGCTTATCGCAGTGGCGTCCGATTGTCTGCTTTCGCGGGGGATCCTTCGGGGCGCCCGAATCGAATCGAAGGAATCTCGCAATTCCCCGCTGGTGCTAGGGATCCTTCGAGACGCGTCCCACGCATCATTGACGCGATGCGACAGAGTCGCATTGCGTGCTTGAGGTCGGCCCCCACGGGCGCTCCTAAAGCCGCGCACTAAAGGTCACTCTTGAGTGGGGTCATTCTTACATGTCGCCGAGTGGTTCTGTCGCGGCGCCTAAGGGAATGGGCCCCCGCCCATCCACCCAGATCGGGAGCGCCAGAGGGAGGTATTGGCTCAAGGAGGGGGACATCGATCCCCAATCGCCCATTCATCGTCGATCGGGGCGTGGGTGCCCCACCCCGCCCGGCATATTGCCAGTCTATCTGTGACGTATCGACGGGTCTGGGCCTCGGCGGCCTAGTGTTCGTCTATTTGCGACGTTCTCCTCGATTCTGGGCCGATGCTCCCCCCCCCGAGCCAGTCCTCACAGCTGAGCCAGTACCCCAGCCGTGATCTATCACGGCGTGGACCCCGGAGCTCTTGACCCACTGCTCTTGGCAGTGGTTTCGTCGCGGGCAGTTCTGTGGAATCCACCGGGGCGAAGGGCCCAAGCTCGGAGCAGCCGACAGCCGTGTGGATCTTCCAGTGCGCCAGAGGTCTCGGCGCCGGTCTGCCGCCCCCGAGATGTGCCCGCCAGCCCACGCCATGTGCCCGCCAGCCCAGGCAGAGCCCACGTGGCGCGTAGAGGGGGAGGCCGGCGCGTGGCGCCAGGCCCCCAGGGAGGCCGGCCACGGGCAAGGCGACCGCCGGTCGCGGCAGCGCCGATCGCGGATCCGCTTCCTCGTTTCGCCCTCGCCCCGCCTGCAGGCACCCCAGCTCCTCCTCTCCCCCCTCCATCCTCCTCCCTCATCCCTAGTTCTGCTGCTGCTGCTGGTTCTCCTCCTCCTCCTCCTCCTCACTGCCGCTTTTGCTTACCCGTTCCCGCTCGATCCTTTCTGGCTGCCCGCCCGATCTCTCATCCATGTTGGCCTCCCCCTTTCTACTTACCCGTTTCCCGCTCGATCTCCAATCCTTCTCCTTTCTGGCTGCCCGCCCGATCTCTCATCCATCTCGGCCTCCGCCTTCATTACCTTTTCGGATTCTTCCTCCCTCCACCGTTGTTCCTTCTATTCCCTCCCTGCGTCCGTCTTTTATTGCCCGCCCGTCATGTTTTTGTTCTCGCCCAAGTCCTTCACTGAAGCTACTATCGCACTCACTACCACTCTCCATTACTCCACTTGCTTATTAGAACCGCCACCGTGTTTTGGGTTTATGTTTTGCGCCTGACTGGGGCGGTCGAATCGTCACCCAACCAGGCACCCGCGTCCACGGGCGGGACTCCATTTGCTTAACAGAACCGCACGCGCCTTCCGGATGTACTGCGGTGAGACCTCCCTGAGGGGATAAACACCCATTCAAATTTACTTCAACATCAAGACCCTTTCAAAACATCTGTTTCCTAATTTCAGGGGCCAGCCACCCTCAAGGCAGTGTAATCCGCTGGTGTCCTCCATCTCCTCATTCTCCCTCCTCATCCTCATGTGATGCGCGACATCGTGTGTGTGGTTCTACAGGGCATGGGGGCTTTCGCGGCACTGTCGGCCCCTCGGGAGGTTCGAGGCATGTTCCGCCGCTCTTGCCCGCATTTCCAGCGTTGGCTGCCGAGAATTTTCCAGCGTTTTTTCCGGCATTGTCCGTCGGAATTGTGTTTGGCGTCCTGAGGTTGTCGCCTCCCCCGCTCCGCCATGCTGGGCCTGGAGTTTTGCTGTGTCTCGCTCGATGCCTGCCTGCCCTTAGGCAGACGCTGTTGCTTGCCTTCCCCTCCCTTCATCCCTTTCGCGCGGCGCGCGGAGGAGGAGGAGGAGGAGGAGGAGGAGGAGGAGGAGGAGGAGGCTGGCCCGCGGCGCCGCACCCCACGGGGAGGCCGCCGGTGGGCACTGGAATATTGCGGCCGCGCCGGATCGCGGATCGCCTCGCCGCGCCTCCATTCACCTCGCTTCCGCATCCCCCTCCCCTCTCTTGCATCTCCTGCTCTTCCTCCTCCTTTTCCTCGTCACCTCCTCCTCGTGCTCCTCATCGTGTTCCTCATCCTCCTCATCGTCATCATCACCACCATCATCATCGCAGCGGCTTCCTGGCGGAGATCTTCGATGCGACGGTGAAATGTTTGTATTCCCCTTCATTGACACCGTTTTGCCCATACAATGTTTAACGCATCGATTTGCCTGACCGTCCTCTGTCCATTAGCTGCCATGCCCAAGCAGATGAGATGCTCCGTCGCCCGTTCGTGACTTAATGTTCGGCACACGGGCCACATAATGCATGAGTCGCGAGGGCACACCTGCCTTTTCAACTGTGGATTCCCAGAAGCCCACGACTCGTGGGACCACTACTGCCTCCGCCCACACCTTCATCACACCTTGTGTTCCAGCCGTAACGTGGATGGCCGAGTGGACGGATAGTTCTTCCACCTAGGCTTAGGCGCCCCGTTCCGTGCGTGCGTCTTCCATATCGCTGTTGCTTCCAGTGAATACCGCTTGGTCAAGCTACAGTCATCGGAGTATTGCCCTTGGAATTTACGTTGCTTTTGCATGTGTCTGGGTATATGTTAATGCTTTGAACCTCGCTGCGTGGGTAGCCCTTTTGAAGTCGAGGCATGAACACAATGCTAGCTAGCACTCCACCACACGCGCCCCCTCTCTTCTCCCCTCCCCTCTCCTACTAGTACGTTGGAGCCCTAAATTGGAAGTAGCCCCACCGTATCAATTGATTGGGCGGCGGTGCTCCAGCAGTCCACACCGACGACGCGGATGCGCTCCGGCATTGCATTCACAGAGGAAGCGCGCTCCAGCAGCCCACGGCGTGTATCCCAGCACTGGACTGTTACCGAGCGAGAGAGCTCCAGCAGCTTACGGCGTGCGCTGCAGGACTTTTTACCAAGCGACGGCGCTCAAGCAGCCCATGGCGCGCGCTCCATACGAGGAAGCGCGATCCAGCAGCACACGGTGTCCGGTCCAGCACTGAAATTTGACCGAACGGGAGCGTTCTGGCAGTTCGACAGAAAATCATGAGTATGACGTCGTCGTCGTCGCCGCCGCCGTCCAAGCAGAAAACATGGGTTAAACGTCACCGCCGTCGCCGTAGACGTCGGTGTCGCCGCCGTGGTCGTCGCCGTCGCGGCTCTCGCCGTCGCCGCTTTCGCCGTCGCCGTCACCGTCGCCGCCATCGCCGCCTTCGCCGTCGCCGTCGCGGCGACCACCGCCATCGCCGCCGTCGCCATCGTCATCGTCGTCGTCGTCGCCGCCGCCGCCACCGCCGTCGCCGCCATCGCTATCGTCGTCGTCGCCGCGGGTGCCGTTTTCGGCGCCTTCGCGGGCGCCGTATCCGTCGCTGGCGTCGCCGCCGTAGCCGTCGCTACTGTCACCTTCGCCGTCATTGTCGCCGCTGGCGTCGTCGTCGCCGCCACCCTAGCCGTCGCCGTCGCCGCGGTTTGGCCATACATTCCCACTGGCAAGATAGTCCGCTGACTGTAGGCGCCCGCTAGCCCGACCACCCAGCCCATGCCTACTCTCAGGAGTGTACCGTTTCCTGCATTCGCACAGCCGCCCGCCTCTACCCTGTAGGCACTGACACCAGCTCTCTCTCAAGGCACGCGGATCATCATCAGCATCATCATTTGTCCTCCCTCCTCCCCGCCTGCTCTCCCCCTCTTCCCTCCCGCCTCCCTCCCCCTCCTCATCCTTCTGCGTGACCTTCCCCCTCCCCTTCGTCGTCGTTCTCCTCCTCCACCTCCTCCACTTCCTCCTATTTCTGTTGTTTCTCTTTGGCATGAGGCTCTTCCTCCTCTTTCTCCTCGTCCCTCCTCATCCCTCCCCATCCCTCCTCCCTCGTCCTCCTCCCAATCTTCCACCTTGTCATCCGCTCCCTGTTACCGGTAATTATATGTATTCGTATCCTCCCTGTTCCCACTCATAGCCCAGGTTGCCTGGACGCGCGTGCGGACTGCCTCTGCCGCGCTGCGACGCAGCAAAAAATCCTCCCACTCCCTCTCACCGTTGTCCATCTGCCAATATCTGTTTCCTCCCTTTTCCCTTCGAATCCCTGCATCCCGTCCCCTCTCTTCCCCTCTTCCTCCCCCCTCTTGTTCACAACCTCGTTCCTCCTCCACCTCCTCCTCCTTCTACCCTTCGCTCAGCACACTCCTCCTCCTCCTCCTCCTCCTCCTCCTTCTCTCCCTCCTCCTCCTCCTGATCGCTTGCCCGGCCCGCCGCCGCGAGTCCCCAGACGAGTGGCGGGTCCTTGGCCTCTAAGGCGCGGTCGTTGACGCACAGGAGAGGCCCGAGGTGGAGCTCAGCGAGCACAGCGTTCGCCTGGGGGCCACGGGCACCGCCATGTCCGCCACGCTCCCGCTGCCGGCGGAGGCGTGCCCCGTTGATGTCGAGGGCGCCAGGTGCACCTACTCGCGCAAGAGGCGGCAGCTCGTGGTCGAGTGGCGGGCGCTCGCGCCCACTGCTGGCCAGAAGACCGGCGGCGGGCGCGCAGAGGTGGCCGCGGCGGAGGCGCCAGCAGCCGTTGCCCAGGTCACCGACGTCGCCTCCAAGGAGCCGCCCGCGCGGGAGGTGCCAGGTTCAGACGAGGCAGGCGCCGTCACGGTCCAGGAGCCGCCCGCGCCGTGTGGGCCAGACAGCCTCGCGGCGGAAAGCGTGGAGGCCACAGGGGCTAACGCGGAGGAGCCACAGGTACCCGAGGGCGTTGCGGCGGAGGCCGCCAGGGCCGCCACGCAGGAGTCGCCCTCGCCGCCGAAGGGTCAACATTGCAAGGCGGCGGGCGCCGTTGCCGAGGGGGCCAGCGACGACGCGGAGTTAAGCGTGAGCGCCGAGGAGTGCAAGTCGCTCGGTAACGCGGCTGTGGCCGCTGGCGACCATGGCGCGGCCGTGGAGCATTACTCCCGAGGCTTGCTGGCGCAGCCAGATCACGCGATCCTGCTGTCCAACCGCGCCCTCTGTTTGCACAAACTCGGCCAGCTGCAGGAGGCCCTCGCAGATGCCACCAGGTGCGCTGCGCTCAGGCCCGACTTCTGGAAGGGCCACTTGCGCGCCGCGCTGGTGCTGCGAGACCTGAAGCGCCCCGTGGAGGCGCTGGAGCTGCTGAGGAGGGCGGGCAAGCACGAGGAGATCGAAAAGCTGTCGGCGGAGCTGCGGCCCGAGGCTGAGGCCGCCGAGGCCGAGCGCATCGCTGGCCTCGGCGGCGCGGAGCGCTGCAAGGAGGAAGGCAATGCCCTGTTCAAGAGGGGCCTCTTCGAGCAGGCGCTGACCAAGTACGGTGAGGCGCTCGCGCTCTGCGAGGGCGGCGACGCAGGCGAGCTGGCGGTTTCGATCAGGAACAACAGGGCGGCGTGCTACCATCAGCTCTCGGACTTCGGCTCCGTGGTGGCCGAGACCACGGCGGTGCTCGAGCAGCAACCAGACAACCTGAAGGCCCTGGCGAGGCGCATGCTCGCGTTGGAGCCACTGGAGAAGCACGAGCGGGCCCTGGAGGACGCCCGTCGCGTGCTCCGCCACTGCCCAGGCCATGATGCCGCGAACAGGGTGCAGCACCGCCTCGGGAAGCTGGTCCGCGACCTCCAGCGGGAGCAGGGCAAGGGCGCGTGATGCGGATGTCGCACAGTAGTTCGCAGGAGGAGCAGGAGGAGGAGGAGGAGGAAGAGGAGGAGGAGGAGGAAGAGGAAGAGGAAGAGGAAGGCGTCTCTGGCTGCGGCTCACTCGTGGCAATGCCCTGTGCAGAACAGGGGGAGACGGAGCAGGAAGAACGCATGATGAAGAAGATGCCGAAGAGGTGGCAGGGTGTGCGTAGTGGAGGAAGGGCAGGATGACGACAACAAGCAAAAAGAGAGGGAATGAGTAGGAGGAGGAGGAGGAGGAGGAGGAGGAGGAGGAGCAGCAGGAGCAGGAGCAGGAGCAGGAGCAGGAGCAGGAGGAGGAGGAGGAGGAGAATGAGGAGGATGCGGAGGGAATTCTGGCGATTGTTCGGCATTGCTGGTAGATGTGAGTGCAATTTGTTTGTCGCACTGGGCAGGTCTCGACCGCACGTCCTAATGTGACCGACGATCCTGAGTGCGTGCGGGCTCAGGGGCGCCATCATCGGCCCTGTACGCCCCTGGCAGGCTAGCGGCTCCGTGGGCAGGGGGCCCTCGGTCGCACACGGGGGGTGTAGTACACGTTTGTCGCGCGAACAGCACGTGAATGAGTGAAGGGCCATGCGGGCGCAGCTGGAGGCGGGCGAGCTGCTGGGGGGACAGGTGGCGAGACTGGGGGCGCACCGGGCGCTCGGCACGGGCTGGCGGGTGAAAGGCTCCTGCTCCGCATCCGCGTTCGAAGGGACTGCTGACTCGCAGCCGTTCAAGCTCGCGGCGGAGGACGGGGTCCTCCCTGCCGACTTCGGCATCTCCGAGGCGCCGTGAGCTGTGCCAGGGTCTCTGCAGCGTGGGCCCCCCACGCCAAATACGTAGCACCCCGCAATTGCGGATAAGAGTGAGGGGGCGGGCGCGGGCGGCGCGGGCGTCGAGCCGGCGGACCTCGTGGCCCTCACCTTCCCTGTCGATGGCGCCCTTCTCCTCCTCCTCCTTCTCCTCCTCCTCCTCCTCCTCCTCCTCCTCCTCTTCCTCGTCTGCGTCCTCGTCCTCATCGTCGTCGTCGTCGTCGTCGTCGTCCGCCTCCTCCTCCTCCACCTCCTCCTCATCTTCCTCCTTTTCCTCCTCCTCCTCCTCCTCTTCCTCCTTTTCCTCCTCCGTCTGGAACGAATGCACAAGAAGCCCGCCGCAGGCGCCGAAGTTTTGGCTTGTTCAGTAAACGTAGTTTGGGTCGCGGGTGGGTCGCGGGCTCTCCACCTCCACCTGGAAGGAATTCAAAAACAGCTCGCCGCAGGCGCCGAAAATTTCGATTTGTACACTGAACGCGGTTTGGGTCTCGGGTGGGTCGCAGGTTCTCCACCTGGAACGAATGCAAAAGAAGCCCACCGCAGGCGCCAAAAATTTTGAGTGGGTCGCGGGGTGGGTCCCGGGTGGGTCGCGGGGTGGGTCGCGGTGGGTCGCGGGTGGGTCGCGGGCGCGGTTTGGGTCGCGGTAGGTCGCAGGTTCTCCACCTGGAACGAATGCAAAAGAAACCCGCCGCAGGCGCCGAAAATTTTGGGTGGGTCCCCAGGTGGGTCGAGGCTGGGTCGCGGCTGGGTCGCGGCTGGGTCGCGGGTGGGTCGCGGATGGGTCGCGGGTGGGTGGGTCGCGGGTGGGTCGCGGGGTGGGTCGCGGGTGGGTCGCGGGGTGGGTCGCGGGTGGGTCGCCAGGTGGGTCGCGGAGTGGGTTGCGATTGGGTCGCGGCTGGGTCGCGGGGTGGGTCGCGGGTGGGTCGCGGGGCGGGTCGTGGGGGGGACGACGACGACAACAAACAACCAACAACCAACAAACAACAACCAACAACCAACAACCAACAACCAACAACCACAAACAACAACAACAACAACAACAACAACAACAACAACAACAACAATAACAACAACAACAACAATAATAATAATCCGCATCGCGGAATTCCACTTCAGCCACGCACCCACGGACAGTGAATGACCGTTCGGTTCAGCCCTCTCACTCTGAAGAATTTGTCCTGCCAATGGGTGGTGCCCCACGAGATTGCTGTTTCAACTGAGGAAGCTCTGAGTCGACGAAGGATGTGCCCCCTTAGATGTTTGAAAGCAGGACTTCGTGTTGTGTGTGCCTATTGGACGATAATCACCTGGGCTCGGATGGGCCCCGGCTCCGCACCCCTGCTCAGCGGGGTCGCACAGCGCAGCCGCTCAAGCATGCGGCGGTTGAAGGAGTCGATGACGCGAAGCTGGTCGAGCTCCCGTCAGAGAGGGTCCGCGCACCCCCAGGACGACGAAGACGTCGACAGCCTGGCCGTGGCTCCGAGCAGCGCGCGTGGCCCACGGTTGCGCAAGCTGGAGGCTGAAGACAGAACTGCCCGCTGCCTCGTCGGCGTTTCGTGTGGGCGGGGGGGCCCAGGGGGGCAGGCACTTCTACTTCCCAAACCTTCCTGCCCGTCCTCCTCGTCCGACTCCTCTCCCGCATTCTTTGGCGTGCCCTTTTCGTCCTTCCAGCCTGCTGCGGATGCCGTGCAGTCGGGGGCGCAGCTGCGGTCCCTTAGGCTGTTGGTTCAGTGCATTGCCGCTGGAGGGTTGTCTGGGCGAGGGCGGCGGCTGCGAGGGCAGCCACGGCGAAGCTCGATGGAGGATGAGCGCGCAGCCGCTGAAGCTCAAAGTGGAGAGCGATGCCGACAGGGACGAGTTCGGCGTCTCGGTGGCCACGAGCTCTGCAGGGGCCTGGCCAGCGACGTCCCAGTCCCCAACGCGGCGCAGGCTGAGCGTGCACGGCGGCGACGGCGGCCGCCCGGCGCCAGCGGGGGCGAAGGGCCCCCGCATCTCCCCTTGGGCACGGCGCAGCCCTTCCGCGGCCCGTACGTTGGGCACAACAAGCGCCGCGTGGTGGGTGCGAGGCATGCGCGGAGGAGAAGGGAGGGGGGAGAGATTCCTGGGGCTGGGGGCGAGGAGGGGGGCGAGGGCGAGGAGACAGAGAAAAAGTGCCGGGGGCTGAAGGAGGGCCAGGAGGCGGAGGGGGAGGAGCAGCAGGGGGGCGAGGATGAGGGGGCGCGAAGGAGGTGGGCGAGGATGAGGAGGAGGAGGAGGAGGAGGAGGAGGAGGAGGAGGAGGAGGGGGAAGAGGAGGAGGAGGAGGAGGAGCAGGAGGGGGAGGAGGAGGAGGAGGAGGAGGAGGAGAAGGAGGGGAGTCCGGCGGTGAGGGCATCCAATTCGGGCCCTGCCCCCGTCTGGAATTTGTTTGGGACGCCTTGGTTTCACTGTTGCATGTGCTGTTTTCTCTTCCAACGAGGCAGCCACCGTCCTGTCCGCCTTCCTTTGCAGAGTGGAAGAACCTCGAGTCACAAATACAACATACCTGGCACCCGCTTGTCATGGGAAAAGCATGCATAGCTATAGTTTTGCATTGCCATCGTCCATCGTCGTCATCCTGCTCGGTATTCTCGAGGGCCGCTGGCACTTGTGGTCGGCTCGTGTGGCATTCAGAGTGCGCCTGGCGACCTTATAACTCATATCTCCAGGAAAAAAAAAACGCATACATACAATTGAATACATCTGGCTCGCCATCTGGTGCACGCGCGCCGCTGCTGGCACAAGAACGGCTCCTGTGAGTAGCCCAGACGCGAGCACGAGAACTCACCGGGAGTTGGGCGCGGCGACCCTCAGGTAGACATGTATAACCGATGCGGCCAAGATGGGGCTAATTTGAGCTAGAATGGGAAACGGGGGGTGGGCGGAGGAAGAGGAGGTAGAGAAGGGTGGATCCGACACGTATGGTGCAGCGCTTTAGGAAATGAGGCGGGAGAGGAAGAGCAGAAGGATTCTGTTGGAGAGGGCCGGATGATGCGCACGCCGCTTCCTGGATCCCTCTGCTCACCGCCCGTGAACGGGTGCCTCCCGGAGCTGCTTTTAGAATCGCATGCGAAGCGTTATCGATCTTTGCTTGCGCAGAACCCACGCCTGGTACGGCGCTGTTCCACGGGTCGGTGAGGCAGTCCTGTCGCCGATCATTAATTTTCCTGCAGCCGTTCGAATTTGGCCGTCGTTGACTGGAGGCGCAGCGAGCTCAGATGTATTGAGTGGAGGCGGATTGTTGGTGTCCAGGCCCCGACATGGTTGACGATCCGAGCGCGCCCACTCTGTGCCGAAGAGGCGCAGAGACGAGGCTGGCCCTGGCACCGCGGGCTCGCCCGTCTCTGCCGCGCGCCTCTGCCACGAGGCGGATTCGCTTGCGGCTCGAGTGCAACGCGCTAGTGGTGCTGCTTCGTTCTTGGGGGCGCTGCCACCCCTCGTCCCCCTCCCTCGCTCCGTCGCCACCATCTTCCCTGCCCCTTCCCCGTCCCCCCTCCTCCTCCACAGCCATTTTGGCTGAGGTTTGGGGGGGCTTCGGGTTACAGACTGCACCAGGCCTCCTCAGGCGGAGTGGCGGACGGAAGAGGAGGAAGAAGAGGAAGTAGGCGTAGAGGCGGATGAGCACGACGACGGCGGCCTCGGTGACGATTAGGAGGGGCAAATAGAGGGAGGAGGAGTAAGCGGAGGAGGAGGGGCGAGAGGAGGAGGAGGAGGAGGATAAGGAGGAAGAGAAGGAGGAGGAGGAGGAGGAGCAGGCAAGAGTAGGAGTGGAAGGAGAGGCAGGAGGAGCCGGAGGACGGGGAGGACAGAGGGGGAGCAGCAGGGAGGGGGGAGGAAACAAAAGTGAGTCGGAGGAGGAGGAGGAGGAGGAGGAGGAGGAGAAGGAGGAGGAGGAGGACAAGGGGCGAGAGGAGAAGGTGGAGGAGAAGGAGGAGGAGGAGGAAACTTCTACCTGGCCCTGGCTTGGCGATGACCGCCGGCGGCGCCCGCTACACCGCGGAGAAGCCAGGCGTCGCAGTCAGGAGCGTGCTTTCTTCCTCGCCATCTTCTCCCTCCCCCCTCTTGCTCCTTCTCCTCCTCCTCCTCCTCCTCCGCCTCTTCCTCCGTAGCCATTTTGGCTCAAGATGCAGGTTTCCCCAGGGAACCAAGCGGATACCGCTAGTCCGCGGCTGGCAAGACTTCCTGAAGTCTGGCGTCATCTCGGGCCCACCTCACCTGCGCTCGGGTCGGTGGGTAAACGGAGGCCTTTCCCGTTCCTGTCGGCCCGATCGCTACCAGCTTCGAAGCCATGGGCCCTGCGCGGGATGGTGCGCATGTGGGCGATGGCTGTGCTGCTGGTGCTGCTGGCCGTGCACCCTCCTCTGGCGGCTCCTCCTCGTCTTCCCGTGAGAAGTCCAGGAGCGGGGAGCGGCGCCGCCGCAGGCGCAGCGGGCGCCTGTCCCGCGACCGTGCTCGAGATGTGGAGGCTGAGCGTGAGGAAGCCAAGAGGGCGGCCCTGGCTGCGCTCAAGGCCGAGGAGGCGGCCTTCCTGGAGGCGGAGGCTGCCTGCCCCACGCTCCCCTCGCAGCCTGCGGCGGCCCCGCACGACCCGTGGGCGGCTGCTGCTGCTGGCCTCGGTGCTGCCCCTGCGGGGCATGGCGCACAGCGGGTGGCCCCCTGCTCTCCTGTGGGCGGCATGGCCACGCCCGTCCTGGGGGAGGACCCTGCTGGGCTGGACGGCGCGCCACCCGAGGCTGCGGCGGCCATCGCCCACCAGCGGGAATCGCTCTTCGCCGAGGTGCGCTCCAGCCAGGAGCGCCTCCTACAGAACATGGGCAAGAGCCCCGACGGCATCCAGCGGGCTCTGGAGCGCCGCACGGCGCTCCTTGAGAGCAGGCAGGGGAAGGTCGAGCGCATTCAGCAGCAGCAGGAGGAGGACATCAATAGGCTCGAGGACGAGATGCGTAGGAGGCAGAAGGAGACGGACAAAATCATGGCGAAGCACTCGCAGCTCCAGCGGGAGCTCGGAGTGGTCGCTGCTGGCGTGCCACCCCCGCCTGAGACAGGGCCTGCCTGGAGCAGGGCGATCGACCGCGCGGTCATGGTCGTCACCTGCAAGGCCCCGCTCATGCGTGCGGCGGTGGAGCGCGCCATGGCCCCTGTGCTGGCGGACGCGCAGCTCACGGAGGTCTCGAAGGTCGAGGGCGATGACTTGGGCCAGCGCTTCGTGGTCAGGATGGAGGGTGATGTGGGACTGGCAGAGCGCAGGGTGCGCAAGCTGGTGTCCACACTTCGAGGTGGAGGTCCTGGTGGCACCTGGCGTCAAGTCGCAGCCTCGACTCCGACTGGCCACTCGACGCCGCTGTCCCTCAGCAAGGACAAGAATTCGCGCCAGGTGTCCTACGATATCACGCTCAAGAAGATGCGTCGGGTGCTCGAGGAGGGTCTTTCGGAGCGCATCTTCGTCGACCCTGTTGGCCCTGACCAGCTGGAGGGAACCCTCTCCATGGCGTGGCAGCCCCTGGTCAAGATCGCGATCGAGGGCCCAGGCTCCCCACCGGTTGTCCAGTGGAACGCTGCCGGCCTTCGCCGACGCCAACTTCCTCGTGAGCAGCTGGAGCAGATTGTGGCGCCCATCCTGGCCCCGTCGACGGCGGAGTGGTGCCTTTGACAAGGCCGCGGCACGCTGGGGTCGACGGCGGAGGGGCGAGGGCGCCGCTGAGGCTGGGGGAGGGCTATGTCGAGACGGAGATGGGGGTGATGCGGGAGCTGGTCTGGGACTTGGGCATGCTGATCCTGTCGGTCCGCGTGCTGCTGCGGCTGACTTCGTGCCCACTTCCGCCGCGTGGAATGCTAGGGCGCTGTGCCACTTCAAGCCTGCTACGGCGATGGCGATGGCGAAGTTCCTTGCCAAGTTTTGGAAGCGCGACTCGGTCATCTTGGGACTGCAGGAGGTGCATGGCTCGCACATCCGCTTGACTGAGCTGCTCAAACATGTGGGTATACGAGCCCGTGTATTTACCTCGTTCTGTGAGGGAGAACCTGAAGATACTGGAGGGCTGGCCACTCTTTTCCCTATGCGTAGGGCTGATGAATGAGAGCGTGGTGTGGGAATCGTCAATACTGGTGCCTGGCAGGGTTATGCGTATCCGTGCCCAGTTCAGTGATGGCACGGGGAGGCCATGCACGCTTACACATTGGAGCATTCACAACCATGGCCTGGACTGCGGATTGCAACGACGGGCCCAGGCAAAGATCTCGGCTGACCTCTTCGAGGCCAAGCTGGACCCCGTCAAGGCGGCTGTACTTGTTGTGGGTGACTTCAATTTCGGCGACGGGCTGGAGCACTGCCATTTTGGCGATGACGCTCCTCCCCGTTCTGTTGCTGCGGCTCGGCACCCGCGAGAGCAGCGTTGGCAGCGCTGCTTGAGTGATGCTGTGGAGATGGTGGCACCGTGCGCGACCCTCTGGCATGCTGGCCGCCAGCTTGAGACCAGGATCGATCGGGTCTTCCTGGGCGTCCCGTCCTGGCTGGTGGCCCAACGCTACCAGCAATGCGAGGTACTTGGTGAGCCTGAGGAGCTGCACAGGAGGGACATCAGCGACCACGCGCCTGTCCTGATCTCATGGGCGTGGCGCCCTCTGCGTCCTCGAGATCCGCTCAGGCCCGCCCCGATCCCCCAGGACATCGTGAACTCCCCCATGTTCAAGGAGAAGCTGGCCCAGTATGTGGAGGTGCTGGACCTGTCGTCGCGCGCCCCGCCCGACATGCACCAGGTGTACGTGCGAGCCATGCAGGCGGCTGCGGCCGAGACTCGGGACGCGCAGCTGCAGGGCATGGCATGGTCGAAGCGGTGCACGGCGCTGATCTTCAGACAGGTGGCAAGGGTGGTGGCGCGCCAACACGTCTCGTTGGCGGAGAGGCTCCTACGCGGAGTTCTTCAGACGCTTCGTCCTGGCGCAGCGGCGCGTGGCCAGGGACAGGCGCGCCGAGCTCTAGGCGGAGCTTGAAGCTGATGAAGAGCAACTTCGAGTTTCTGATCGCCGTCGGCTCCTTGGTCAGCGCCGTGCCCTGGAACGTCGTGCTGCTCTCTGGTCGGTTCTCCCGCGGCGGCATCTTGCGGCTGTGGAAGCCCCTGGCGGCAGGCTGCTCACCTCGCCCGCCGAGGTCCACGAGGCGCTGGCGAACCACTGGGGCGAGGTCTTCGGCCCCCCTGCACGTGCAGCGTGCCCGGCAGCGGGGGGCGACGCCTCGGAGCGCTGCCGACGTGAGCGTGACTCCAAGGCCTTCATCGCGAAGTACGGCATGAAGGAGGTTGACTGGAGCTCCCTGGCGCCCCCCTCGGCCATGCACATCGAGGAGGCTCTGCGGCGAGCGCGGCCTGCTGCGCCTGGGGTTGATGGCCTGCCTGCGCGGGCGTGGCTGATGCACTCGGCGGGCTGTGAGGTGCTCCTTGCGGCTATGAGATGGATGACCTTGGGCCGCCCCATGCGTGGGGAGTTCAACGTGAGTATCGCCATCTTCCCGCCGAAGAAGGTGCTGGATGGTGACGGTATGGAGGTTATCAGGAAGCCGAACGAGACTCGTCCACTCATGCTGCGCTCCACGGGCCCCAAGGCCATCGCCTCCGCGGTGAACTCCAGGTTGAAGAGCATGATAGACCGTGGCGCCTCAAAGGCGCAACGTGGCTTCATCACGGGGCGGAACTTCCTGGAGAACCTGGTGGAGCTTGACGCCATGTCCCGCGTCGCCTCCATGTGCGCGCTGGAGCAAGCTCGTGGCTGGGAGGAGCCGTCCCTCCTGAGCTTCGACTTCGCTCACGCCTTCCCGTCGCTCCTCCACGACTGGATGTGGCGGGTGCTGGAGGCGTGGACGGTGCCGCTCGGCCTGGAGCACCTGCTGAAGGAGTCCTACGCCAACGTCGAGGTCGTGGAGGCGGGGCCCTGCCACTGGGTCCTCTTTGTCATCTTGTGCGGGATCTTGCAGGGTGACCCGCTCTCGGGGACGATGTTCGTGATCGGAGCGCAGCCGTTCGTGGAGGCGCACTTGCAGCAGCTGGAGGCCAAGGCTCTTGGCATGACCCGCTGGTGTGCTGATGACATCCAGGCCCTGATCTACTGCAGGCGGGGGCTTCGCACCCTGGCGAGGATCTTCCGCCTCGCGGAGCGCCTTGCTGGCCTCCAGCTCCAGCCCAAGAAGCGCGCGGCCGCCCCGCTCTGGGCCCCGTTCTCGGCGGAGGTGGAGGACGCGATGAGGAAGTGTCTGGGCGAGGCCTGCGGGTGGGGCTCCTTCACCGTGGCCTCGTCGGTGGAGCTGCTGGGGCGTTTGGTGGGCCCTGGTGCGTCGCTGGCGGCCCAGTGGGCTGCGCCACTCGCGCGCCTGCGTGAGCGAGTCCTGGCACTCGCGGCTTCGCCACTGGGCATGACGGCCGCCTTCTTTGAGCACAGCCGACGGTGCCAGCCCGTCCTGGCCTACAAGGCGCAGCTCTGGCCGATGCCGACGGAGCTGATTGATGATGAGCGCTTCCTGCTGTGCCGGCTCGCGAGGTGCTCGGGAAGCCTGTTCAAGAAGAACACGTTCTTCGATCTGGAGGCGCTGGGGGGTCCAAGATGTGCGCCGACGTCGGACCTCCTGGCGGCGCCCCTCATGCGTTCGACCCTCTTCGACGCTTGAGACTTGGCGGCGGGCCGCTGCGCACCTGAGCGAGGTGGCCTCCCGCAGGCTGCCGCTGGTGCGGTGCACGTCAGGCCAGCCCTGGCCTTCCTGGTGGGAGGCGCCCGCCCCCGCTGTCACGCTGGCGCGTGCGGAGGCGGCGGGGCGCGAGCTGCTCGAAAAGAGCGGCGCTCCCCCTCTCCTTTCCTCTAGCCAAGGTGGGGCGGGGCGGTGGGAGGATGGGCGGAGGAGACGTCTACAGCGTGAACTTTTAGTGGGCCTGCGGGCCTCCAGGGATGGGAATCTGCGGGGCCTTATCTCGGAGAGGCTCCCCAAATGGTTCGGAGTGCCCCCCCTGGAGGCTGCGGCTGTAGTGTGGCACGACGTGGAGCAGGTCCTGATGCGTGCGCCCCCGAGCTGGAGGTGCGCATGCATCAAGACTTGGCTCGGGGGATGGGTCACAGACACCCGTCTCCAGAATCGAGACCGTAGATGCTGCCTGGGTTGTGATGCTCCTGATAGCCTGAAGCACTATTTCTGGTGTCAACACTTTCGTGAGCTGGTTCGGGTGGCCCTTGGTCGTCCGTTGCCCAGTGATCCGCTCTCTGCCCTTGCCCTCGTCGTCCCCTCGCTGGAATCGACTCGAGGAGTGGCGTTGATGTTCCATTTGCACCGCCTTCTCCATCTTCAGAAGCGCGAGGGCACCAGCGGGGCGATCCCTGCCTCGGTCGCCTGCTCGATCGCCAGGGCTGCGCGTCAAGCTGTGGACCTCCCTGCTGGAGGCAACTCGGCCCGAAGGGCCCGTAGGGTGGCTAGGTAAGGAGTTCAGACTTTCCTGAGGACGCTCCGCCTCCTCCGCCTCTTCCTTCTCCTCCTCCGCCTCTTCCTCCACTCGAAGAAAAGGAAAGTGAACCCGACCGTTTCTGAACACGCGGCGATTATACATAGGATTGTTCAATACATAGAATACACAAGGTTTCGCAGTGTCCCTGGACTCTTCGCCGGAGAACGCCACACCGGACTCGACGTTGCCCTATCAGGCACGCGCTCTCACGACTCAAATCGCAAACGCGGGGGTGGCACGAAGCGCGCGAGGGGTGCGCCGAAATGGGGCGGGTCACCATACGGCTCAGCCATCGGGGCCTTCGGTCGAGCCCCATATAAGGCCACGAAACGTGTGAGGGGTGCGCCGAAACGGGACGAGTCACCATGCGGACGCAGCCATCGGGGCCTTCGGTGCCGTGCCGAGGTGCCCGCGTGCACTGTCAGTTATCGATTGTTTGCACTATCAGGTGCCGTGTGCTCGCTTCTCTTAGCCGCCCTCTGAGCAGCTGTCTCGCTGGCCGCTCGCGAATCTCACGTGCTTCCGCTATCGCGGTTGCTCGTCTCGCGTCGCCGCCAGCCGTGCGGCTTGGTTCAGTCTCTCGTCGAGTTGTGCGCACTCGTCCTCTTCCAGTCACTCGAGCATTTTTATCTGCCTATTTCGAATCGCTCGGACGCGTTTGTGTAGTATCCTTCCTCCTCCCTCGCTGCTCCCCCCCTTCAATCTCAATCCTTCGCCTCCTCCTTCACTTGTCCTTCTCCTCAGCCTCAGGCTCCTACTCCTTCTCCTTCCCACTATCAGCACCACAACCATCATCATCTTCATACCATAATCATCGACACTGTCGTCGAACAAGTCGTCGTCGCCATCACTTCTCCACGTATCCTCTCGTTTCCTCCCAGCACCTCCATCATTTCTCTCTCCATCTTCTCTCCTTCCTCCACCACCTTCCCTCCGCCCTTCCTCATTCCTCCACCCTCCTCCCACGCCTGCTCCCAGAATCGGGAGCCACATCCGAGAAAATGCAACACCATCATAGGGCGAAAAGGGGTACATGTCCGGCGGGCTTCTCTCGGGATATTTTGGGAGTCATGTCTTCTGACAGCGCCTCTAAAGTCAACTAGAACATAAGCGCGCGTAGCGCGCGTAGAATTAGTGCGTATGTACATATTCCTCTTCCTATATTGTTAAAAGCCCGGGCGGGGGGAAAACCCATCCCCCCCCCCCCTAGAACCGGACCCCCGGGATCTGCAGCTTTGGGACCCTCCGGACGGGCCTCGAAGCGGCCCCCTGGGCCTCGCAGGGCGGTTTGCCAAGCCTTCGCAGCACACCCAGGGCGATCAGGGGGTTCACCGGAGACGTCCCAGAGACCCCCAAGACAGCACAAGAGCGCTCCAAGAAGCCATCATACCCCGAAAGATCGCTCCAAAACGTACCAAGAGGCCTCCAAGAGCACCCCCAAGAAGGCCCCAAGAAAGACAAATCATTGAATGTAGGTTTTTGGTGCATTTGGGGTTCTCCTCTTTTCGGCTTCCCGACGCTCCGAGACGGCGGTCTCCTAGGCGTCCGAAGCCGCCTTGGATGCTCCAAAATCGCCCCACAACCATCCGAAAGGGCTTCCAGGCAGTCCAAAAGAGCCCCAAAGCGGCACAACAGGGGTCCAAAATGGTCCTAAGAGAGCACCATGGCGGCCCAAGACGGCCCCAAAACACCCTCCGAAGCATTCCAAATCGTGACTGGGGAAACCGCGGTTAGAGGCAGGTTGGCCTTAGGAAGCCCCAGAGGCCCCCAGAACACACCCAGGAGGCCTCCAGAAGGCTTTAAGAAAGCCTGAGAACTTTGGTGAGGCCCCCAGAGGTTCTCCAAGGAGGAGCCTCCGCAAAAAGAGTTGAGGAGGATGGTGAGAATGCCCGGGGTATGGCGAGAATGAGGAAAAATAAGCATGGAGGAAGGACAACGAACAACATTATTATGACGGCGATGCCAGAAAAGGCAGCAAAGAGTTATCGCTAAATTGTCGGCTTGACCTTCCTGCCATTTCCGCCTGCATACCAAACTTCAAGGACCAAGGTGCATGGCGCGAAGCGCCACTGCAGTCTTGTATGTATGTATGTATGTATGTATGTATGTATGTATGTATGTATGTATGTATATATATATATATATATATATATATATATATATTCACTGCGAATATTCATGTTCACATCCCTCACGTGCAATCTCCATATGGTGTTTCCTCTCTCTCGCTCTCTTTCTGTCCGTGGTTCTCCCTCGTTCCCTGCCTGTCCGTGTGTTCCCCCGTATGGTTCTGCTTGTTTCGTTCTTCCCTCCGTGTCGGGTCCCACGCACGCATGTTTTCCCAGCCATCCTGTGGTGTTGGGTCCCCGTTTTAAAGAGACGGCGCCCTGCCTTCTCCTCCTCCCGCCTCCTTCCTCCCCCACCTCTCTCCTCCCCCTCCTTGTTTCTGCCCTCCGCATGTCTCTGTTTCGGCACACCCAGTAGTACAGCGCTTCGTGGCCCCATAGGGAGCTCTACCGAAGACCCCGGTGTCAGGGCCCGTGTGCCGCCACATCGTCATTTCTGCGCACCCCCACACGTTTGGTGGCACCATCGGGAGCCCCACCGAAGGACCCAGTGGCAGGGCCCGCGTGCCGCCACCTCGCCATCTCAGCACACCCCTCACACGCTTCGTAGCCCATAGGGAGCTCCACCGAAGACCCCAGTGCCAGGGCCCACATGCCGCCACATCGACATGTCGGCACACCCCTCGCACGTTTCGTGGCCCCATCGGGAGCTCCACCGAAGGCCAACGTGCCAGGGCCCGCATGCCGCCACCCCAATTGGCGCAAGTGTTGAGCTTTGCGCCAACTGCTTGTGTCGAGTCCCCATTTACGAGGGTGGCTGTGAGCAAGCCAAGTCTTACAGCCGCCTTTGTATACTCTTCACCGAGCTGGCTGTTAGAAAAAATCCTCCCCCTCCTCCTCCCCCTCCTGCCCCCCCTCCCCCTTCCGCCCATCCTCACCCTCCTGCCCCCCCCCCGCGAAGAAAACGATGTCGCCCGCCCTCCAGGAGCGCGCCACGGCTCGGCGGGGAGGCGCTGTTGCACTTGCAGCGGGGCGGCGACACTGGCATCGCACGGCCGCGGGTCGGCGCCCCCCGCCGCGGCCGCGCGAGCGCCAGAGGCCGCCCCGAGATCGGATGGGAGGAGGAGGAGGTGGAGGAGGAGGAGGAGGAAGAGGAGGAGGAGGAGGAGGAAGAGGCATCGGAGGAGGAGGTTGAGGAGGCGTTAGATTATAGCGCTCCGACTGGGTGATCATAGTCATCTAGCGATTCGCAGCAGCAACGCGCACGATTTGTTTACATTGTTTGTCCGCCGCTGTTTGGCTCAAGCCAAGTCTTTCTTCATTGACATAAGAGCTCCTATCATATGTTCATGGTAGCGGAGCACATGGTTCGCCCCACGGGTTCCAGCACGCGTGGTTAAGTCCGCGGAGCATTTCCCTTTCAGGCAATGGCCGCAGCGGCAGCCGCAGCGGCACCAGCGAACCTTGGCGCCACCGACCCAGGCTTCGATGTAACGTTACCCGAAGTCTGAGAGGCATGGCACAACTTGGGCACGAACCGAATTGCAGAAAAGTGCATACCCGCTACGAGAACGGAAACTGTAGGTATGTTAGCATGGTGTTTAAAGCCACCCGCGAAACCATGAAGTTGTTTTCCGAACGTAGTGTTGCGCAGGGCGCCACGGTTGTTGGCAACGACCTACCGGGCACATGTTGCAGGCGAAACCATAGCATGCATGCATGTTTTGCTTAGTCGTGTTACCAATTGCCACATGCAGTGCGAGGACCTGTGCAACACATGGAAAGAACACGTGGGTATCTAGCTCCAACCTCAGGCGGACACTTTGGAACATGATGCTAAGATCGCTCGAGCATCGCCGTCTGCAGGAAACGACAAGACACGCGGAGGTGCAAGCAAACCCGTATGCGAGAACAACGTTGCCCAACAAAAAAGACGTTATCCCGTGACAGGACGAAGTTCAGGACATGGGGCGGACAGCAGTTGAATGCATTTTGCCCAGGTGAAGCACGGTTATCGGAACAGGACACCATTGGCTGGGGCGTTGCCGGAAGACTGAGAGGACGACCAAGGCGGCGCAAACCAAGAACAAATAAGTGCATTCAACAACGAGTATCCGAACACGAGGACGACTATGCCGAGCTAAAGAGAGCCCTTTTCTATTTGTTGAACGACAAAGTGGAAGGGAACAGGGCACCCGGGGAAAACTCAACGGTTAGGTGACGGTCTGGTAGCCAACCTAAATATGCCGCTCGCAGGCTGCACTCCCGCATGGGATGAATTTGGCCATGAATCCCAAAACGCCCAATATAATAATCGATGTGGCGACCCTTTTCTCGAACAGCGGATTGCATTAGTAGAGCACCTGGAGAAGCATGGGTCTGCCAGCTCGTCACTTTTACCTTTTCAGAATTACTGCGCAGAGGATCAGCATGACTCACGCGGGGGATTGGCTCGACGACTGGCAACAGGATTGTTTCGAGACTCCAGAATCAGTCAATCTTGACGGCGCCCGAAGCTCTTCGGTAAGCGCGAAGATTGGGCGAGGAAGAAAGCATCGGGTTCTGGAGGCTCGATGGATCTATTCGGTGGAGGTTGGCCGAATCAACGACGAGCACAGCGGCAACGGGGGCGCCTGCGTCGATGGCCCACGCGTGGGCGACGCAAGCGGACCTGGTTGACTTGGAACGGCGAGGGCCTGAGCGGGGAGGGCAGCGCGAATGAAGCGGGCGAAGGAAAATCCAAAAGCAAAGGGTTCACGCGCTACGAACGTGGAGGACACGGGCTCGTTGCCGAGGATTGCGCTGCCAATGGATCCGCGGAATGAGCCGGGGGCAGGAAGGGATGTGCCAGCGGCAACCAAGGGGTGCAAGCTGGGGGATGCAAGGTAGGTTGGCAAGGCGCGAAAGACTGCCCAGGGGGTCATAGCAATGGGGGGCCGCAGAGGTGGCGCACTAGGAGTTCGCCGCGGAGGCCAAGGGCAGGGGTGGAAGAGGAGGCGACGGCGAGGGCCTGCCGGTCAGCGACGCGTCTTTCCACGAACGCGGAGAGAAAGGCCGCGCCGCCGCCCGGCGACCCTCGATTGCCAGCGAGGGGTTCTGGCGAAGGGGGGCCGGGGAGCTCGCGTTCGTTCCGGGGCGACCTCTGCCTGGGCCAGTGCGCCGCAGCGTCGAAGTGGGCGAGCTTGCCTGCAAAAGTGGGGCCGCAGGCTGCGCCGCGCAACCAGGGCCCGTCGCGGGGGCCCAGGATTGGGAGATAAACGATGGAGAGGCAGAAAGAGGGAACAGAGGGTCAAGGTAAAGGATCAAGGGGAAATATGCCCGACGCGAAGGAGGGCGGCGTCGATTGCGGCCGCGGCGCCGACTGGGGTGACAGGATCGAGAAATCATTGAGCAGGAGAAAAGTTGGTCGCAGAGATATGCCGAGCAACACTAGCACTGGAAGGGGCCGAACAAGGAAGTGAGTGAAGTACCCGCTAGGGGGCAAGAACGCGGGATGGAGACCATTGTTGTTGCCGTGGGACCAGGGGCCTACGACTCCGCTGGACCCGCGAACGCGCGACCCGCGGAAGCCTCCATGAACGGGTGACATGACCGAGCAGCACGCGGTTCAGTCACCAGGAACCACGAGGCGACCCGAGACCGCGCGATGTAGAAGTTGACTTGCGCAATCAAACCCAGCTGCCCCACCGAACTTGGCGCCCTCCACTGCGTTGGAGGAACAGTGGGGAGTGGATCGCGCGGGAGACAAGTATGGAACGCCGGGCAAAGGCGTTCCGGTGATCTCAGTTGATTACACGCGGTCAATCGGGGCAAGAGGAGACAGGTGATAACGCGCAATTATATCAAATTATCGCCGCGAGCTGCCAGGGCGCCAAGTTAACCCGCGGAGCCGGGCTCCATTGCAAAAGGGCGCGGGCCCATGCTCAGTCAAGGCGCCCAGCCGCGTGATTTTCTTTGCTGGGCCAAAAAGAGCTTTATTTAAGAGCTATGGGGATCGCCCGCTGCGGCGCCCAAGGAGACGGTTAAGGCCTCGCGCGACCTCGACGCGGGAGTGGAAACTGGCCCAGTCGGAGACCCCCAAGCAAATGGCGAAGTCGCAGGGGCCGCCGACATTAATCGGCCCAAGTAGGACTTCGAATGGCGCGTTGGACAACAAGTGTGCGATTGAGTTCGGGAAAGAGCACGCGCCTTGCACCTCGGTCAGTGGCTTGCGCGACTTCTTCGATCCACAAGTTCACGACGGGCGCAGATGGCAGGGCGGCCCACGAACGGCGCCGAGGGCGAAACCTCAACAAACCGTTTCCCGAATGCGAAGAACACGCCATGCACCTGAAGACTCCGCTTTAAACGGAAAGGAGGCAACGACCTCGAAGCGAAGCGGGGGCGCGGTCTCGCGCTGCGGGCGCGCGGGAAAACAAACCAGGAGTTGATCGTCGGCGCTCCGGAGAGGGGCCATCAAGTCTCGCGAGTTCAGGCGCAGCTTAAGCTGCGAGAAGAGGAACCCATATGAGGCTGACCACGCGACAGGTTTACGACGGCAACCAGGCCCTGGCGCGTGTGGAACGGATGTTGAAGCCAGAGCGAGACTACCGATGGTGGCTTCTGTTCAAGGCTCGCGACCGTGGGCGCCGGGCTGTTAGTGGCGCGATGGGGTCGCGGCAGAGAAGCTGGGGCGCGCGGCCGCGGGGCCCGCGGCCGGGCGTTGCTGGCGCCAGGCGGCATCAGGGGGAGACGCTGCCCATGGACTGCGCGCGCGGAGTGCCGCGAACGCGTCGTCGAGTGGCTCGACAGAAGGTGGCCCGAACATCAATGAGGCGTTAGCAGCGGCTCTGAGAAGCATGGGGCGCGACAGTTCCAGGCAGGACAAGGATAGGAGGAGCTAGTAATAAGCGATTGCGCAGTGACAGACGGGTTAGTCATTCGACGACACCGCGAACCCATGACAACAACGCACGCGCCTGGAGACACAGGGGCCATGGCCCCTAACCGAATGAGGAATGATAGGCAAACGCATGTATTTATCAGGAGACTGGCGAGATGGAGCATGTAGTCGGCGATTGGAAGGATTAGCTTGCGCGGGGGCCACGAGGACCTGCGGCGGGATGGGTAGAGTTCCGTCAACTCTGGCAGCGATGACGACGAGCGCCTGGCCGACTTTTTGCGCCGCTGTCAGCGGCTGTCAGGGGGCGGCAGAGGATCCAGGAGACGATGAGAGGGCTGGGGAAGTCAGACATGAAGGGGGCGAGGGCCCAAAGGCACAACAACAGGGCGCATGCTCTGGAGGGGCAGGGGGCCCGACGACGAAACAAGGGGAGAAGGAAGACCTGAACATGTAGGTGCACAACATCGCACTATGAGCATTGATGAGGGACGCGCTGGTTGAAACATGTTCGGTTTTGCTTCCGACGCAGCGGAGTGGCTACCCGAGGTCAATTTGGTTGTCATCGAGCAGGTCAATGAGTTCAGGAGAGTTGCGGGTCACGCGGCAAGGCCAGCAAGCCGCTCAGTGAAGCGCCCCCGAGTCCTGCTCGCCAGTGCGAGTTACTGGCATGGCGGAGAAAGAGTCGTGCCCGGATTATTAGCTCTGGATCTGTTAACGCGCGATGAACACGGGGACCCGCGGGATGTCATGCGCGAAGGAACGCATGCACAAGCCAAGCAAGGTATCGAACATAAATAGCCCCGCTGTTCATGGCAAGCCCAGTGCGCGCGGCTTCCAGAAGGTTGCCGGCCTTCACTTCGAATAGATCCGGGCCAGAGAAGGTGAGGGACATGCTAGACCGAGGGGTGGAGCGCCTCGAGCTCGCATGAGAACAGCGTGAATGTCGACGGGGCAATGGGATACATTTTCTTTGCACATCCCGCAGGGGCCTCATGCTCGACCGCGACGCCTTTGCAGAGTATGTTAGAGCGTGAGGGAGTGCTGACGCATCACGGGGATCCGCGCTGTTATAGCTTGAAACAAGCTGCAAACTGAGAGAAGGTTCTCATTCAGAAACCTACCGGGCTCATGACCAACAGGTCCGAGATTGGTAGGGCTTTCAACCTGAAGCATCAGTTT